CTCTGTCATCCTGACCAACAGTATCAAGTAACTTTTAGTACAAAAAAACAGATTTGTTCTTGCTACTTACTGGACAGAGAAATCATACTGCAAAAGAACGAAGACTAGCATACAAGGCTTCAATTTTACCTCTATACACACAGCCATTCATCCAACAGGAATCCCATGAAAGACATTCCTACCCATCAGGTCTGACATCATTCTTTAAAGTCATAATACATGTGGTATTGTGAAAATATGTCTGATCTGACTCAGGTGTGACTGAGAGGAAAACTAACAGACAGCACAATAAAGTCAGTAAATTAAAATTTAAAAACAGTTATCAGGGCTCAGACTATATGAGTTAAACACATTTTAAACCACATCCTGCTAGTTCAATAGATTGACTTCTACCCACAAAGCTCAGGAGCACTAGGTCTGTTCATACAATAACCCTATCTGATTGTCCGGGGTCAAGCTACTGTTTATTTTTGCCAGACAGAACCAATGTCCTGAGCAGAGAACCTAAAACCTTCTGTGTTTTTCACTAGTTACTTCAAGGCTATACAAGCTCTGATGTTCTTTCTACGTAATCACCTAACCAATAAGAAAAATACCTTTTAAAAAAATGTATTAGGTAAAAGTAAACAGACACAATGATCAAGAGCTTTGCTTTTATTTTCCTTCTCATGAGCACTCAATATAGAATGGAGCGAAATTAGGTTTACAGTTGCATGTGAAATAGAGTTTATTCTTTTATTATTATTAATTAATTACTATTTTCTATATGAATACTGTAAACCTACGTTTGCCATACCCTGTATTTTGCAAAAGAAGGGCAGTGCTGCCCTCTACTGTTGGATGTTGAAATGTTAACAATATAGTTCTATTTTCCTGCTAGATAAGTAGAATAAAGACAATCTATTATAATACATTGTTTTAGTAGAAAATAAATGTGTTCTTGGCAAACACATTGAATTTGTTTCCTTCATTATCTCTTCATCTACTTTCATCTTGTATATAAAAGTGTAGGACTTTAGGACATGGCTCAATAAAAAAAAAGGATATTACAACTTGGGGGAAAAATGCTTAACACACTGCTATAGAAGAAAGAGGCTGTATTTGTGATGCATTTAGAGAGAAACAGGGCAAGGAGAGGGAGTTTTCTTCTGACTTTAAGGTCTGTAGCCTTGCATTTCTGTCATTCCACTGTCTTTATTTGCTTTTGTTGTTGTTGTTAATCCTTACCCGAGAATATTTTTCCATTGATTTTAGACAGAGTGGAAGGGAAGGGGGGAGAAAGAAAGGGGAGGGGGAGAGATAGAGACAGAGAGGAGAGAGAGAAACATTGATGTGAGAGATACTCATCGATAGGTTGCCTCCCACAGGACCCCGACCAGGGCCGGAAATCAAACCTGCGACCCTTCAGTCTTCAGGCCCAGGCTCAAACCTCTGAGCCAAACTGGCCAGGGGTTCATTTGCTTTTTGTTAAGTCAGTCCAGTTCCTTTGTGTTTTAATTGGACTTAACGCCAGTGTCCTGGGGATGCTGAGAGAGTAGAGGAATAGTTTCTAAAAAACTTTCTACTCTTCAAAAAAAGATAATATAGAAATACAAAAAGCTATTATTAACATTGTTTCATTTAACTTATTAAATATGTTGTCTTATTACCTTTAAATTGCTTTGAGATTTTTACTGCTTGCTACCAAGGCTTCTTGGAGTACTCAAAATATTTTTTAAATTGTGTTTTCTTCTTTCTTTCCCATTTTTCAAAAATTTCAGAGTATATGCCTGCAAGAGGCCAGTGCAGAAAGACTTTAAAGAGAGTAAGTCTAATCATTATCCTACAGCTACGAGGGACTAATGGCAATAATAATTTCTACAACTGTGTTAAAGGTGTGTATTAACAATAAGCAAAATCTTTTCATTCCAATTTACAGTTAAGAATATTAAAATTCAGACACACTAAGTAATTTACTCAAAGTTTCAAAACTAGTAAGAGGCAAAACAAGAATTTGATTGGTGGTGCAAAGCCTGTGTGTTGTTCTGCTATGCAGTTCATCATTCAATGAACAAAATAAATAAATCTCAAAGGCAAGTGCCACCCTTTGGGATCTTGAGCTTGACGTCCTTGGGCTTGATGAGAGCCTTGCTAGCCTTGGCATGTGCACTCATGGTCTTGGCGTTGTTGGCCTGCATCTTCTTCAGACCCTTCTTGTTGTGCTTCTTGGAGAAGCACATGTTCCTCAGGAACTTGGGGTCTATCCCCTCAAGAGATTCGTATCTTTGTGATCAGGGTTTCTTGATGCCATTTCTGTGCCATTTTCAGGACTAGTTGTGTGTGGTATGGTTCTTAGACTGGGCCATATCTGCACCGAAGCCCACAGTTCATATCTGCACGGAAGCATCTGGGACTGGAAGCTACAGCTTTGGTTTTTAAATATATAATTCATTCAGCACACAGCTTAGCTGCTAAATAATACCCTTAGTGACAGCATACACCAAAATATAACCATTTCAAACCACTTTGCCATTAAATGCCAAGGTGTGAAAAACTCCTTCCTCCTCTGACTTGTCCCTAAATTTAGACTTTCTGGGTATCAGGGGCAAGATCGAATATAATAAGCAGGTGTAGGGTTGCTTAGAGGTTCATGTAGTGCCCACTGCAGCCCTGGCCTGGTCTGCCTCTTATGCTATGGGGCAGCACTGCTCAGCCCTGAAGGCTTCAGATTTCCAAGAGTATATTCTAAAGGGGTTCATTCCAGATGAAACTGTTCCCAGTTCTTCCCTTACAATTTTGAAGAAGAGAGGATGTTTAAATGCGTAAACAGATAGTTTTTAGCCCTTTTTCCTTTTGACCCTTATTGCCCTTTCCCTGGACACTCGTTTTACCTGGCTGCCTACTTGTCTGGGCAGTGTTCGCCTCTCATGAGTCTTTTGCTTGAAGTATCCATTCAGCAGCCAGGCAGTGTTGCATCAATTCTAAGTCAAAGTGTTAAAATTAGCAATGGCCCCGAAAGCATTTTGTTTATTTCAAGATTGGCATTTTGCTTAGAGGGGCAGCCTGCAGGGCTCAACACAGAAGAGTACTGACCTTAAAGTAATCCTCAAGAACCTCATATTCCCAAGGAAAAATGTTTGAGACTTGGATCCCACATATGTTGCCCTTCCCTACCTCCCCCCACACACCCGGTAACTGTTTGTCCCTTCCTAAAATTCAGAACAAATATCATGGAGACATGAGGAAAACTGCATGTGTATGGCACTTTCTTTGCCCCTATCAGAACTGACTTAGTTATGGAGCTGCTTAGGTTGTCAATAAATATTTATTTGGACTTAACTAAATTGATAGTGTTTAGCTGACCGAGGGTTGTTTATTCCCCAGGGAATGACGTCAGGAGTGACCATGACATTATTGGCCAATGCTGTGAAGATCATACCTCTAAATCACACTCTAGGGAGGCTGGGCTATAATACACCCCTCTCAGCAGTTGCCCTCTGCCTGTGCTTCTAGAAGCACTGAGAGTTCACTGTCATTTCACCTTTAAACTTGCAATCTTAGAGGACAGTGTTGTTAATGAAACACTGTGGGTAGTTACCTTGGAAGCCAGAGGCACCATTTCTGAAAAGAAGCAAGCGATCAAAGGTTGGCAGGTGTTATTCAAAGTTCTTTTGGCTTGTGTTCATTACTTTGAATGGAAAATTCATTTGGAGATTTGTTATATTATCCAATGAATAGAGGCTGAAGTACTGTTTTCTTCTGACACACCAAGAGAATGACTCCTCCTTCCACCATTTACTGCATACTTACTAAGTGCAAGAAACTGAGGGAGAGGTATGCAGGGTAAGATCTCTAGCCAAAAGAAGCTTACCATCTACAAGGGGTGTGGCAGATGAGCAATAATAACAAAGGCTAACATTGAGGGAGTGCTTACTAGATGCAAAAAACCACTTTATATGTATTAACTCATATAATCCCCACAACAACCCTGAGGAAAATACTATTACCTCCACTTTATCCAGCAGGAACAGAGAGGTCAAGTAACTCGCCTAAACCTGCCCAAGTTGGTAAGTGGCAGAGCCAGAATCTAAACTAGGGCAGTTTCTCAACTGGGGCACTTTTCTAAAGGGCAACATTGCTAACAAGAAGCAAAGGAAAGAGGCGGGTTCTGACCAGAGTGAGGGTTAAGGGAAGACTTTATGGAGGAGGCATTTACTCTGGGTCCTGAAGGTCACCAGGCCTGGGGAGGAAGGCACATTCCGGGGGAAGGAACAGCCTGACTGAAGAGCAGAGGCAGTCTGGGCCCCCGCCAGCTGAGGACAGCAAGATCTGGCTGAGCACTGGCGTGGGAGGGCGGCTGGCGACGGAGGCCGCGCCCGGATCCCGGAGGTCCTAGCGGACCAGGCCCTCTCTGTAAGGAAAGGGGAACAACAATCTCAGACTAAGAGCGGCTGAAAGGAATTCCTCTCGCTCTTACTTTTAGTAGGACGGCCCCCGTCTGAGACCAAGGCGGGCGGCCCTCCCACATTTCCCTCAGGAGCGAACAGCCCGCGGACGGTCAAGGTCGCCCGCGCGGCTGCCGAGCTGCACGTCCTGGCCCAAAGACGGGCGTCCCGTGAGCACTCGGGGACTTGGCTACCGGGCCGGGCCGGGCCGGGCCGGGCCAGGACCGAGCGCGACGCCAGCTGTGGCGGCGAGAACACCTGCTGCACAGGTACCGGAAGGCCCGTCCTCGGTAATTCCCGTGGACCACCGCTCGAAGGTCGATGAAGCAGCCTCCACAACACACTGGCCGCTCGGCTCTTCCCGTCAGTCCCGGACGCCCCGGGAACAAGGACCTCAGCGTTGGACGCAGGCTCTGCCAATCAACTATGCGCCACGCCCCCATCTCAGCCGCAGTCCATTTCATTGGTTACATTATTCCTCCGATAAGATTCTCTTCTTGAATTGGCTAATAACATCCCTTCCCTCTTTGCCCCTTGTGCGTCAGAAGCTCGCGATTGCATAACCACGTTGCCAAGCTCCCGACGCGGCTCGACCATTGGAGGCCGCGGGCCCGCCCCGCAGGCTTGGTGAAGGTGAGAGTCTCCTCCAGCCGGCGCGACTGGACTGGACCCAGCAGCTCGCGGCTCGCGGTGGAAGCTCACGGCCGGCTCTAGCTGTCTCGCAATGGCATCTCCGTCAGTGTTTGCCGAGGTTCCTCAGGCCCAGCCGGTCCTCGTCTTCAAGCTCAGTGCCGACTTCCGGGAGGATCCGGACCCCCGCAAGGTCAACCTGGGAGTGGGAGGTAAAGATGCAGTGCCCAGGAGTGTGAGCTGCCTGGGGAGCGGAGCGGACCTAACTCGGGCTGTGGGAACTGTGGGAGAGGCCGAGGCCAGCTTGGCACCGGGGGGAGCCCGGAGCGGGGGCAAGATCCTCGAGGCTTCATTCAATCTGCTCATTTTACCGATGAGTATCTGAGTCCCTGGAAAAGGGAGGTGTGTCCAAGGTCACACAGATCAGGACACAAACTCCCCCCCCCTCCCATTCTGTGTTCTTTATACCACCTTCTTAACTTCATAAGTAATGGGGTGGCCAGATTGCAAGGGGAGAGAGAAAGATAAGAAGCCTGATAGGCTTGGAGTCTTGTTGATGGGAAATGGATAAGGGAGAACATCTGCCCTAGGGAGCTTTGTTCTGAGTCGGTAATTACTTGAGTGACTACCAGATATCAGTTAGGTACTTTACCAAGCCATGTGGGGCCGGAAGGCTGAGGCTTGGTTTTGGCCTCAAACAGCTTAAAATCCGTGAAATAACAGAGATAATAGAGTGAGATAATAAGAGAAGGAAAATGCTTCTGCGACAGGTTAATGCTCCCTGGGGAAACCTGGGGGAAATGTTCTGGCCTTTCGCTGTGGTAGGAATGAGTAGAGATGGTGGAAAGTAATGGAAAGACTGTGGACATTAGAAACCCATTTTCTACACATCCTCCTTGTCTTTTTTTCTTGCTTGTATGTCCTGGACCATGGACAGTTCAGAGCATGGGCCTCAGTTTTCTTCTGCCAAGAAAAAGATTTGGACTTAAGTGCTTCTGAAATTCCTTTAACTCTAATCTTCTCTGGTGAAATTTTTATTTCTATTACCGTCGTTTGGATGTTTGAAACTCCACAGACACTTTCTGGACCACATACAGAGACCAGCCAGGAAGAAGAAAATGAATAGGGTGATATTCTATGTTAGGGAACAGACTTAGACTAAAAGGACTAAAACTTTTGAAAATAGGGAGTTGAACTGTTTTGTAGCAGAAGGTGGCAAGAAGGAGGTTTGGAATTAGGCTTAAAAAGACTTCACTAAAGATTATGGGGGAGGGGTGAGGAAAAAGTCTTTAAAAAGTGATGGTGGGTTGAGGCTGGTAATTTGTTGAAGCTGGGAAATGGGTACATGGGCATCCATTATATTATTATTGCAATCTTGTATACGTTTGAAATTTTTCATAATAAAGCATTTAAAAATCAGTACTACATAGTTTCACCCACAGAGGGAAAGTGATATTTTTAGCAGGCAACAGAGTGGGAGAAACAATGAAAGATTGCCTTGAGCCCTGGCCAGTTTGGCTCAGCGGTTAGAGCGTCGGCCTGCGGTCCTGAGAGACCCGGGTTCGGTGCCCGCTAAGGGCACGTACTTCGGTTGCAGTTTGTCCCCGGCCCTGGTTGGTCGTGCGGGTGGCAGCCACTCGATGTGTCCCTTCACATCGATGTTTCTCTCTCTCTCTCCCTTCCTCTCTCTCCCTCCCACTCTATCTGTACAAAAAATGGAAAAATATCCTCGGGTGAGGATAAAAAAAATAAAAAATAAATAAAAAAAGATTGCCTTGAATTGAATTGGAGTGGGTACCATTCAAGCTCTTTATTTAAATCTAATCCAAAACTTCCAAGTATTTCTTAGGGCCAGATATATAGTGAAGAACAATGTTGATGTTGATCTAAATATACCTTTTTGAAACCTCACATTCCATTGGCTCAGTTACCTTTGAACTGTCATACAGGTTTTTTTTTTATGAGGATTAAATATATTTAAAGTGCTCAGAACAGTTTCTGGCACATAAATAGGAGTTATGTAAGGTTTAACTATTGCTCTAATTGTTGTTTTGCTTGCACATAAAAGATGTTGAATAAAAATTTTCAGCTCAAGAGCTGCAAAATGAAAGTTGCTGACATTGGTTCAGATATAAAGTGCTCACGCAGAGAAAAGCACCCTGCCAGCCAGGCCGGAAGCGATGAACTCAGACGCATAGTCCACAGCTCAGAAGTTCATTTCAAATGTGACTGAGCCGTTGTCATGTTTTCCAGGAACCCAGGAACTCTGACTCTTTACTATGAGCAAATGATTTATGCATTTAATCTCATTAATGCTTACTGTGACTCTGGAGGGTTGTTACTATTACTGTTTTAGAGGTAAGGAAGCTAGAACTCAGACTGATGAAGCAGTCTGCCTCAGGTTATATGCCCCTGGTTGTGTGGAACTGGGGTTCCAGGCCAGGTCTGACACTACCCTTTTTTGTGTCTCTACCCTGTTTTGGGTACCTTCAGGTGCTCGCAGAGGCAGTCAGTGCACTGTAGTGGGAAGAGCCAGGAGATCTGGGTCCAGGTCCAGTGATGTGATCTTGGGTGGGTTATTTAACAGATTCATTTGGTTAAATGATGAGCCAGGACAGAATGCCCTTTCTTTATTTCTAAGATTCACTAGCACATTACCTGACTGTAGGGTAGGATAATAATGTTACTGGGCTCTTCAGATGACTGAGGAGTAAATGAAGTTATATGTGAAATGTGATATGTAAATGAAAAGTGTTATATAAAGGTTACTTTTGATGGTTACTGTGACCTGTCTTTTTTGTGGATAGCAGATACTTGGATAAGGGTCTAAATAAAGTAGAGTAGAATAAGAGGTCTCTTTTCAGCTTTTCTATGTCCTAGCTCTATACACATCTCACAATATATTCTTTGTGAAAGAAATGTAATTAATCGCCGACTTTGGGAAAGATACTCTTTTTCCTCCAAATTAAGATAAAACCCAGTGGCGGTTATCCAGCCCAAGTTCTAGTAACGGTGGACACGTTTAGCATAAATTGCAACCATAATCTCATTAGCTAGTTGCTACTTGCAGATAATTTCTCCTGAGAGTTTCTTCTTGCTATGACTATTTGAATAATCTCCTTATGGTTAGAGCAGAGCATCACATTTCCACTGTCAAGTATGGTGCTCTCTGAGTTTACTGTTTTAGTGTTTCTCAAAGTTTCAGACAAATGGCTTTAAAGGCCAGGGAGACATGGGTTCAGCCTGATGCAGCCTGAAGCAAGATGTTTCTTCATAGCCTCCAGTCCATCTATCATGTAAACTCAGCTTTCTTTTGCTCCAAACTGCACTTTATTATTTGTTGTTGTTTTTAATGTGGGTTCTGGCATCTTCAGACGAAATTGTTGGAGGGATGTGCTACATTAGGTATTTCTGAGTACCCCTAGCCCTCTCCCTTGAAACCTAGTTGGAGAAGGGCCTTAGAGGCATACCTGCATGGGCTCTTGAGTGGGGATGGGTGAGGGAAGTGGAAATCTTAGGAGGAGGAGCAATTTCATTATTTAATTTTCTATCTTGTTCCTTTTCTTGTGGAAAGCAAGATTGCTGGACTCAGCTGAAACCTGTGTGACTCTTCTAGAAGAGCATGGAGGTGGGAGCATGCTGATAAAAAGGCCACTCACAGTCCTATGGCACCTCCTTGCTTTGGGCTTTTTCTAGACCTCTTGATCTTAAAAAAAAGCACATGGATTCATGAACTTAATAGTATGCCAGCCTAGCTCTTGATATGGGGCAAATTATTTAACTTTTCTAGTCTCAGTTTCTAGATCCCTAAAATAGGGAAATCACAATATTGATTTTGTGAGTTATTATAAGATTTGAGAGTAAAAAAATGTAAAGCGTTTAGTACAGTCCCTTGTATGTTCTAAGTATTCAGTAGGTCCTTGTTATTACAATGGCTTTGGCTACTGTCAGAGTCTATAGTTAGAAACCTTTCTTTCTGGACTTCTTCCCTGAACACTAGACCCTTACTTGCTGAAGTTTGCTGGACCTAGCGTACAACCACCTCAAATTCAACATGTTTAAAACACAATTCTTCATTTTCACCTTTCCCTCAACTTTTTCTTTTTTTCCCCCTTATATTATATGTCTTAGTCATTATCCCAACACCACCAGTCGTTATCCAAACTAGAGAGACTTTGGAGTTATCAAGGACCCTTTCCTGGATCCCACATCTATCTACTTGGTCACTAGTTTCTGTCTTTTCTACCTCATAAATCTTTTCTTTTTTTTGTGGTATGTGCCCCTAGCGGGAACCGAACCTGGGACTCTCTAGTCCGCAGGCTGACGCTCAACCACTGAACCAAACTGACCAGGGCAATCTTTTCTTGATTATCTCTCCTTTTCTTTATCCCTGCTGTCGCTGCCTTAATTCAGTACCTCATTATTTTCCTCTGGGATTATTGCAGTAACCTCCTGACTTAACTATCTGCCTCTGTCTTCCTCTCCAGTTTATTTTCTATCCTGTCACTCAAATGATCCTATGAACGAGTACAGCTGTCCATGTCACTCTCTTGCTTAAATGCTTTCAGTGGTTTGCCCAGTGAAATGAAGTTCCTTCTAGAAGAGACTCCAAGGCTCTTTGAGCCACACCTTGGTATTCCTACATTCCAGCCATGAAAATGCAGATCCTCCGAAACCTTCTCTCTCCAAGCCTTCAGGACTTTGCACAGGTCGCTGGAATTCTCATCTTTCCTTGTTTATCTCTTAAATCCTTTTGCACTTCATCATCTGTAAAATCTTCCCTGATCCCTCACAGGAGAATTAAGGACTCTCTGCTCTATGTTTCCTGGAGGTCAGTGTCTTATTTTATCTTACCCATCTCTGTGTAGCTACTCCTAGCCAGTGTCTGGTTCATGGCAGATTCAGTAAGTCCTTGTGAAATGAATGAGTGAATGAAAAAAATGAATGAGAAACTCATGGGTCCAGAAAGAGGAATAAAATCCCCCAGAGAGCAGGAATAGCAGTGTTGATAATGCTCCAGTCACCCAAGAGGAATCTGCAGTTCTGCCTCAGTAGGCCATTTAGACAAGGCATTGGGAATACATCTGGAACGGCACCTGAGGAAACTGGGCAGTGAAGAAGGAAGGGAAGGTATAAATTGGCCAGTTTCTCTTTTGTCACAATATAGACACAGTGCCTTTCTGACACCATTTGCGTCGCAGTTTTTCTTAGAGTTGCACAGAATATACATTATTGGTAAAAGTGGTAGTACTGTGGCTTTTTCTGTATCTCTCATTTTATTTAGAATAATGATTTACAAATGACACAAATATAATATATATGTATCTCCAAAACCCACCTGATAAAGGAAGCTTTTTGAACTTGTTAAGAGGGAATTAGTTTGGTGAGCCAGGGGGTATAATGTGAGTGCTTAACAACATTTTGAGTTAGTTCCATCTGCCCAGAGACTGTTGGTTGATTAGTGGCGATGTCAACCTTGAGTACTGTCCACATTTTTATTACTAGCTTAATATGCTTATCATATTTGCAGGTGACACATTCCTGTAGGGTAGAGTTAGTTGATAGACGATGTAAAAGCAAAATGATCTTATAAAATCTTCTTAATTGCATAACTTGTGACCTAGTAATTTTACATCTAGAAATTTTTCCTAAAGAAACACTCATGAATATCTGTAAAGATATAAGGAAATTCACTACAATGTTTATAATAGCAAATAATAGAAAGCAACACAAATAGTTAATGATGCATAGAAAGGAATATTGTCTAGCCACTAAAATTGTGCTGTAAATTGCTCATATATATATGAGAAATGCCCGATTACATTTATAATAAGAGAAATGCAAATTAAAACTACTTTGAGATTCTATTTGCACTCAGATACAAAAAAATATTGGGGGAAAAAATCACTCAGTGGATGAGGTTGTGGGGAAGCAGACGTCTTATACATTGATGGTAGGAATGTAAACTGATAAAATCATGAGGGAGGCCAATTTGGATATGTCTGTCAAAACCATAAATATACATACTTTTCAGCCCGTTCTTCCATTTTCAACCCTGCATATAAGAGACATATTTGCACACATGTAAGATGACATATGTACAAGGTTATTCACTGAAGTTTTATAATAGCCAAAGATTGGAAATGACTCAAATGTTCATCAACAAGAGATTGGCAGAACAAGTTATGGTATTTATCAGTTTTGTGCTGTAAAAAAGAATGAAGACATTGTATGAATAGATATAAAAAGATCTTCAAGTGGAAAAAGCAAGGAACAGAACTGTATGGTATGCTATGTGTTACCTTTTATGTAAAAGTGGGGGACATAGCTGTATTTGCTTGTATATGCATAGGGAACTTCTGGAAAAAGAAACTTCTACAGAAAGACAGTAAGGACATTTGTTATTTATGGAGTGAGAATATTTGGAACTAGGTAGATGGAGGATAAAGATGGGATGACAGCATGTAAATCATCATCTATTAGAAGAATAGTTAATGACAATGAAAAACACTCATAATATATATTTACTAAGTGGGAAAAAGCATGTTGAAAATTCTATATACAACCTGATCTATATTTTATAAAAGAATATACTCTTGAACCCTGGCCAGTTTGGTTCAGTGGTTAGAGTCTTGGCCCAAGGACCAAAGGGTAGTGGGTTCAATTCCTGGCCAAGGGCACAAACTTGGGTTGCAGGTTTGATCCCCAACCCCGACCAGGGCCATGCAGGAGGCAACCAATCGATGTGTCTCTCTCACATTGATGATGTTTCTCTCTCCCTCCCTCTCTTCCACTCTATCTAAAAATTAATGGAAAAATAGCCTCGGGTAAGAATTAACAAAAATAAATAAATAAATAAAATAAGATATACTCATGAAAAATAAAGCTTAGAAGGTTATACACTAGAATTTTCATACTCCTTATCTCAGAGTGTTGGAATTACATGTTAATCATAATTTTTATTATTTATTTTATACAATCAGTGTATGTTCAGTAAACAATGTCAACCACCCAACAAAGTGATTTTTTTAAGAAAAGTTAGGGATTAATATTGGGCAGAAATCAACCAGATAAAATGTAATAAGAACTACTTTAAAATTCTCAGTATAGGCTTGTTGGAGACTTAAACATTTGAGCAGAGAGGCACATGGCCCCTGTCAGGAATCCTACTCAGAGAGATCACTGGCTTGGGTGCAAGCCAGAGCAGCGGCCCTCTAAAGCTGTAATCCCGAAATAATCATAGGGTAGTATAAATACGGAGAAAAAAATATCAGTTACAGGATAACTCAAAGTGGACAAAAAATATTTTTAGTGTAGAAGTGCTTAGAAATTTGCTTGTAAGCAAGATTAAATGTTATGAAATAGATGCATTTAGATCAATAAAACTGAAGCACATGAAGTGGGAGGAACTGTTAAAATGGTAAACACTGAATGATGTCAGAACACAGAGAGAGGACACAGATGTGTTTCACTGGGTTGTTGGATAATCGTGTAACCACTTGGAATCTTCAGTCACAGGGCGTTGGCTTGTCATTGTCCCTTTTCTGATTTCTTATAGGACAAGAGGAGGAGGTGGGCCTCCTTCCACATCCCTCTCTTCATGTTTATGTTTGAAAGTGCAGCATTCATCTGAAGTAGCACCTAGCCCATTTCTGGAAATCTCTTAAGGAGATGCAGAAGGAAGCAGATTGTTGGGCCAATGGCTATAGAGACCTCAGTGCACTAGTAATACTGACATAGCATTTGTAAGATATATCATTTTAGTTTTCTGAGTACTTTCACATGCATTCTCACTCCATCAGGCTCTGATGTCCCAGTTTTATTTTTGCATTTTATTTTTTAGTGGTCATATATTTAAAAACTATAAGTTCTATAAGGATAGGAACCACATCCTTCTGCTTGCCCAGCACCTAGCCCAGTGCCTGGCCCAAAGCGGGCAGTCAGTAAGTAACTGAACTTTAGTTTCCTTCACAGGTCTGTTTTGATCAGGTGGTGGTAGACCTTTCCCTGTTCACAGTTCAAACTCTTAACTTGGACAAAGCCTCAGACAATTTCCTTATGCAACTCTTTCCCATGTTCTAGCTTATCGCACGGATGACTCTCAGCCCTGGGTTTTGCCTGTGGTGAGGAAGGTGGAACAGAAAATTGCTAAGGACAGTAGCCTAAACCACGAGTATCTGCCGATCCTGGGCCTACCAGAGTTCCGGACCCATGCTTCCTGCCTTGCCCTCGGGAATGACAGCCCAGCAATCCGGGAGAAGCGGGTGAGTTTTGGATGAGAATGTGTATTTTCTCTTTAGGAACTGTGAAGGTAAAAAAAAAGTTGAAATTCAACTTGTTTTAAAATATTAAGTGTTATGTCTATTGAATTGTCAGTGCATAAGGGTTTAAGGAATGTGACCTCAGGAACCTGATTGTGTATAAAGCACAGCTTCTTCGATTATTCACTTTTGCCCAATTGATTTCAGCTACTGTGTTTGAAGCCATCAGAGGAAATGCCAAGCCCAGGGAATTTAATGGATTGATCAAGAGAGCAGAGTCTGGATCCGGCTCAGCCACTGTTTTTGACCATAGACAAATCAGTTATCCCTTTAGCCCCTGTATCTCAAATATATGTTACTAAAAGATGAATTTGTAGTTCATGGTCTTATATGGAGCACTTGCATAGGGGATCATATAAGGGGCTTCCCGATCCCCTAAAATTTTATGCAGAATTCTGTGTGTATGTGTATTTTGGGGGAGAAAGTTCATAGCTTTTATTAGATTTTCTAAGGAGTCTGTGGCCCCCAAAGTTCAAGAGCCACTAGTCTAGGTGCTCTCTGAAGTTTTTGTCAATTCTAATATATCCTTTCATTCTTCTAGCCTTGGATCCAGCTTCTCTCATCCAGGTGCTTCCTGGTACATAGTCTGTGTATAACTAGAGACACATGGAAGAGGAACACATTTGGAAGCAGCCAGTGAGGAAGGCTCTATGTGGCAGGAAGTGGTATGGTAGAGATCCTTAGTGTTGTAGGGATTCAGAGAAGAGAGAGGCTGGTAATGGCTGAAGATGAGACTTCAGTAGAACCTTAGGCCATGAGGCTAGAACATTGGTTTTCGATGTTGGTTGTACAGTATCACCTGGGGAGTTTTAAAAACCATACTGAAGGCTGGACCCCATACCAGACCAGTTAAATCAGAATCTTGGAGGATACCACTCTGTCCCACCCTTTCACTACCTTTCCAATTCCTTCCCTCCATGGGCATATTTTTAAATTAAAAAAAAAAATTTTTTTTTTCTTTATTGATTTTTAGAGAGAGAGATAGAAACATCAATGAGTGAGAACATTGATTGGCCACCTCTCGCACACTCCCCACTGGGGATTGGGCCCACAACCTGGGCATGTGCTCTGACCGGGAATTGAACTGGTGACCTCAAGCACTGAGCCACACTGGCTGGGCCACAGGCATATTTTTAATAGTCCTCCACATGATTCCAAAGTACAGCAGGGTTGAGAACCACAAGGTACAGAAGAAGGTATTTGAAGTAGTGGGAGTCCAGGGCCAGAGGTAGGAGGTAAGCAGGCCTATGTATAAAGAGACCTATCTGATTAGAGCTGGGAACATGTTGGATAGATCAGGCAGGCTGTTTTGGCAGCCAGGACAGGGGAAGCCACCTGAAGGTTTGAGCAGAGGGGTTACCCAATAAAAGTATTTGAAGAAGATAAACTTCGCTAGATCAGTAGGAAGGGGCAGAGCTCAGGTTTTTGCAATAGTCCAGTTAGATATTATGCAGTTTAAGCCAGCAGCCCTATTGCTCCCCTGGGCCATTGTCTATCTAGTGCAGCCCTTATGCATGGAAGGGAACACATTTTGGAGTCACCTGATTTATCCCCATGTTTTGTTACCCATATGTCCTGATAAACAAGACAGCAGGGTCAAGTGAAGGTTATACAGGGGCACATTCCTATGTGTATCAGAAGGCAAGGAGGCACCAGTGAAGGTCTTGGGACTCAGGTCAGTGATTAGGCAAGTAATTAATTAGGGTTTTTCCTGGATTGGTGCAAGAAACTGACTGACTTCTTCAAGGAACTGAAGAGGACTGTGGGTAGAAATGGTAGAGTTTAGAGGTGATGGGTGGCACTGGGACATTGCTCTGACAGTCCAGAATTTCTACAGAAGGAGAGGAATGTCCTGATGAAGTTTGAATGTGAACTTTGGCAACTGGGGGTTATTTTCTGAGATACTGTTGATAGGTGGCATTCTGTTGAAAATGAAAACATTCTCTTGGGGAACTTCTTCCTCTAAGTCTGTACATTCTTACAAACTTATTAACTGTGTTGGGCAGATGCTTGTTCCTTTGCCCAATGCTCCCCATTTTTGATCACTTAATGCTGTAAGATTTGGAGCTGTTGCTTGTAGAACGTAGCTTCCCCTGTTAGTCTAGTTCATCCCATATTGTTTTTGATCATAGAACAAATTTAAATAGCAGTCTGTAAATATTTGAAGACTTTCTTTTTTGGGGGAATGGCATCTACATCACTGTAGGTACCAGTTGATACTGAGTTCTGAGCCTTTCTTCTTTCCCCAGGTGTCTTCCCCACCCCAGGGCTTCTGTCTCAGTTTAGCCCACCACCATGTCCTTTGGATTTTTGTACTAGCTTCCTGCCTCTAGTCTCTTCCCTGTTCTAGTACATTCTACAAGTGCAGCTAGAATTATCTTTCTTAGTAAAAAAAAGCTAATCATGCCTCCTCCTTCTTCCTCACACACAGTAGCTCCCCCATTATCTACAAGGTAGAATCCGGACTTTGAACTGAGAGAGCAGCATATCTGCAGTTAGCCTTCATCCTGTTTTTCCGTTACTCACGCCCCGTTCCCCTTTCCCCCATGGAGTCCTGTCATTCTGAGCACCTGCTGTTCTCTAGACCCACCAGGCCCTGTCATGACTTCGAGCCTTTGCCTCAGCTGTTCCTCTGCTGTGAATGCCCCCTCACCTCCTTAACGCCCCAGTCACCACCTCCACGTTCTTCAAGGCCCGATCAAGTCTCACTTCCATGCTGTATCCTTAGTTCTTTCAGGCAGAGCTAGTTGTTGGAGTCTGAGTTATCATAGCACTTTATTCACAGCTGGGGAATAACAGTACTTACTATGCTTATTCATTTTATAAGTATAATTAATTGTATAACTTTATAAGTCTGTCTCTCCCACCAGACCATAATTTCCCCAGGGTAGGGATGATGACTTGCTTATTTATCTTGCAAATCTTCAGCATTTAGTTCCTAGCCTGGCACCTCAGAGATTCTCAGAAGTTTGAATTTACTCATTCATTCAGTCAACAGATGAATGCTCACCACTAGGACTGGGCACCGTTCCAGATGCTGGAGCACAGTGGTGACCAAAACACCCAAATCCCGTTCTGGCTTATAGTTTTGTGGAGAGAAAACGACTATAAACATAATAAACATGATATAGTTTATTAAAAGATAATAAATGCTATAAAAATAGAGCAGAGGAAGGCATATTAGGAGTCTGAGGGAAGGCGTGAGGGGTGGATACAGTTTTAACTTGGGTGGTCATGGTAGAATAGAAGTGACATTTGGACCAAGACTTGAAGGAGATGAGGCATGAGTGAAAGAATGAATGAACCAGAAAAAAGCAGTCTTCCCTTAGATTTCTTTTTTTTTTTTTTATCTTTATCGTCAAATGTCAGAAAAGAAATTCCAACCCTCAACCATCACCATCACCTCAGAGACACACAAAGGTACTTAGCGACCATTTACCAAAAGAAACTTAGCATCAGTTAATTAGATTGGTTCAAGAATCCTCCAGATTTCTCTATTTGAGCTCCATCTTTTCAATATCTATCCTGCTTTCCCTTTTTCTTTTCTTTTCTCTAGAGCCATGCCTATTTCTCTATCATCAGCAGCTTTAATGCTCAACTCCAATTTCTATTATGTCAACTTTTTTACTACCCTATATCTATAAAGCCAGCCTGTCAGCAAATCTTACTCAGTTCTTTCTCTGCTTAGCTCCAGAATTTGACCACTTCTCACTGTCCCCATACCAATACCCAGTCCATTATATTTATATACCACCATCATGTCTTCGCCAGAGTAGTTAATTAGCCTCTTCTGTGGTCTCCCTGCTTCCATCCTTGCCGGTTTTCATGCTTTTCCTCAACACAACAGCCAGAGAGCTACAATGAAAACTTATGCCCTTGATCAGGAATCAAACCCAAGACCCTTTGGTCCATGGACCAGACTCTTTGTCATCATGTAGCATCAATGTTATGTTGGGTTTTTTATAAAAGATTTTTGTCCGCCTGGTGTGGCTCAGTGGTTGAGCATCGACCCATGCACCAAGAAGTCGCCAGTTTGATTCCCGGTCAAGACACATGCCCAGGTTGTGGGCCAAATCCCGAGTGGGAGGCATGCAGGAGGCGGCCAATCGAAGTTCTCTCTCATTGATGTTTCTGTCTCTCCCTCTCATTCCTCTCTTTAAAATCAATAAAAGAAAAAAACACTTTATTAAAAAAAGATTTTCGAAGCTTTTCTTTATCTAGGAAGGGTTTTTTTTCTTTAACCTTTTTATTGTGGAAAATTTCAAATATATGTGCTACAAAAGATAAAACAGTATAATGAACAACCCTCCATTCATCCATCACCTAGCTTCAACAATGATCTGTATTTGGTCAATCATGTATACCTCCCACTGCCCTGCCAAAGCTGAATTATTCTACAGCAGATCCCAGACATCACAAAACATTTTAAAAAGTATTTTAAATTAAAAAAAATAATACATGAATACATTCTACTTAGTTTTTAAAGACAACTTACAGGTTGGGCCACAGTCCCTTTGACCTATTCTCCATAGCCTAGGCCCCTCCCAAGAGTTTGCCCTGTTACTAAATTGATATGTGCCCTTCCTTTTTTTTTTTTTGTATATGCCCCTAGCGGGAACCAAACCCGGGACTCTCTGGTCTGCAGGCTGACGCTCCAACCACTGAGCCAAACTGGCCAGGGCTGCCCGTCCTTTGTTTATGATAGGCTTTCTCTTGTGATGTTTTCCTTTCTTTCTCCTTAATCCTATAAACATAGTAAGCAACATGTAACTTATGATGTTTGTGTATTGAAAGAGTTATGCCAAAACCTTATTTGAACTGTGGAAGAGCAAAATCAAAGATATAGAGGCAGAACAACATGATGGCTTAGTGACTAGAGTGAGAAGGCCTGGACTGATGTCTAGCTATGCTACTCACCAGCTGTGTGTCCGTTGGCAAACCACTTCTCTGAATCAGTTTCAACGTGTACATTGTGAATCTAGAACTTACTTTGTGAGACTGTATGAGAATCAGATAAGAATGGGAAGGTATTTTGTAAATGGTGAAACTTAGGACTTTCATTATTGCCTTTGTGAGGTCATTTTAAGAAGAGATGAAGTTCAAGGAGAGGAAAGTAGTATTCACTTGTCACCTTTGTTTCATTAGAACATATTTGTAAGGATACTAAGCCTGCATTGTAGAAGGAGAAAGGAGTATTACAGATCGATGTCGATGGCAAGCTAGAAACATTATTTTCCAGGCTTCTGCTGGAGGGCAGTTTTGATCTTGGGTTGGGTGCCAAAGGCATTGTGGGTGTGCCTTCCAGGGCATACACTAATGTGGCCTAGGTATGTCCTCTACCTCTCTATTCAGAAGGGAAGCTTCCCTAAGAGTCAGCTATCAGACTTCCTGGGTTGAAGACTTGGTCTTACTGCTTGGTAGCTGGTAACTTTGAGCAAGGTGCTTCAGTTCTTGCTTCAGTTTCCCTATTTGTAAACATGGGCAAATAACAGTATCTTCTTCATGTAGTTGTGAGGTTTGATGAGATGGTACATTTAAAGGGCTTAGCATGGAGCAGGCACAAAGTAAGTGCTCATCATTGCTGTATTTTTCCCAATATTTTCTGACCTCCCTATTATCAACCAGTGACCCTGCTTCTCCTATTTCAGGTAGGAGGTGTGCAGGGTTTGGGGGGAACAGGTGCACTTCGAATTGGAGCTGAGTTCTTAGCACGATGGTACAACGGAACAAACAACACGGGCACACCTGTCTACGTATCCTCACCAACATGGGGTGAGTTCTTTAGGTGTATTGAGAGGAGAAGCAGAGAAAACAGGCGGTTATCCTCATGAATCTCATTGCTTACCCAGAAAATATAACCCAGCCCCAAATCAACTGACATTTGGGAATGACTTTAGCAGTGGATTTAGGCAGGACATGAGTAACCTGATGCTCAAATTCACATTAGGAATACTTTTTCCCAAGACTCTTGGTAGACTTGTGTTTTCATGTATGTCGAAACTTCCCAGAGGGGGCATAAAATGTAGACACAGGCAGGCCTTGTATCTATCTACATTAGGATATAAGTTTATCATGAATAAGACTGGTTGAATTTATTTTTGGTTACAACCATTCTTCTAAATTTTTTTTTTTTTTAAGGATTTTAATTTTTCCACATCCTTGCCATCACTTGTTTTTATCTTTTAAGAAATTTTATTATTATTATTATTATTTTTTTATAGAGCAGGAGGGAGAGAGGGGTAAAGAGAGAGAGAAACATCAACATGCGAGAGACACATTGACTGGTTGCCACCCACAGGACCCCAACCTGGGCTAGGGACAACTGCAACCGAGGTGCGTGCCCTTAGCAGGAACCAAACCCGGGACTATCTCTGGTCCATGGGCCAGTGCTCTAACTGCTGAGCCAAACCGGCTAGGGCTCTTCTAAATCTTAACCCCTCACTTCGATGTCACCCAGTAGACATTCCAGGGCCCTTGTGTCCTGGACTTGTGTTGACTTGTGTCCTTTCCAATTACACCTCCTCGTGTTTATAAAAGCATTTAATGTTTTACCCCTTTGCTTGCAGAGAATCATAATGCTGTGTTTTCTGCTGCTGGATTTAAAGACATTCGGAGCTATCACTATTGGGATGCAGCAAAGAGAGGACTTGACCTCCAGGGTTTCCTGACTGATTTGGAGGTGGGTGATGAGATGAAAAAGTAAACAGAACTCTATGGTGTCAGGAGGGGGAGGGAAGAGTTATGGATCAGTTGATAAGTGAGGGAGTCTGAGAGATCCTACCCAAGCCAGACGATGGTTTCTGAAATGGCACATAAGGAGGGAATGTGCTGTCCTTGGCCAGTGTACCACTGAATGTCCTGCCCATGTTTCTGCTGTTGTCAGAGCTGATGTGGCTCCTTTCTCCTCAGAATGCCCCTGAGTTTTCCATCTTTGTCCTCCATGCCTGTGCACACAACCCAACTGGGACCGACCCAACGCCAGAGCAGTGGAAGGAGATCGCCTCCGTCATGAAGGTAACTGCCTTTCCAGAGTATCTCTTGAAAAAGAACATGTATCTCCCTGGCTGGTGTGGCTCAACAGTTGGAGCGTCAGCTCTCAGACCAAAGAGTCGTGGGTTTGATTTTTGGTCAAGGGGACGTAACCTGGGTTTCAGGTTTGATCCCCTGCCCTGGTTGGGGTCATGCAGGAGGTGAGCAATCGATGTGTCTCTCTCACATCGATGCTTCTCTCTCTCTGTCTTTCTCCCCTGCCCTTCTACTTATTTGAAAATCAATGAAAAAATATCCTCAGATACGAGGATTAAAAAAAAAGATAGTATGTATTAACATTTAATGTATTCAAAAGTCATATCTATTTACTTAAGAATTTGTAAATGGGGAAAAGCCTGAAGAAGAAAAGAAATATTAACTGTTAATTTTATTACCCAAAGAAAGCCACTATTAGTATTTTGGTGCAGAATGTAATGTATATATTTTAATATATATATTTTTAAATATACAAAGATGGGATCATTTTGTCTAGACTGTTTTATTACATACTGTCTTTCATTTGAGCTCCTTTACATGTCATTAAATGTTTTTTAACATTGTTTTCAATGCATGGCTATGTCACATTAGGGATTCACTAAATCGGCTGATGGACGTTAAGATCTCAGGCTTCTTGCTCTTATGAACAATTATGTAATAAAACTCCATCATATTATTTCTTTGGGATAACTTTCTAGATTGGAATTCCTGGCTCAAAGTGTATATATGTTCTTCATTAACGTGTTTAAAGAATACTTACTGAGAAACTGTTATGTGACTGGCATGAGGATACACTAGTGAACAAAGCAGCGATGGTCTTGCCCTCAAAGAGCATACACAGCCTGTTTGGGGAGACAGCCAAGTATGTGAGACAGCTGTGTTGGTGGGGTTACAGGGAGGCACATTGCCTGGACTTTGGGAAGAGAGAGAGAGAGAGTGTGTGTGTGTGTGTGTGTGTGTGTGTGTGTGTCAGGAGGACTGGTAGTGGCAGAAGAAGCCTTTCTGGAAGAAGTGGTTTCCATGTTGAGACTTGAGGGATGAGGACTAGTGGGGCTGGAGGGGCAGGAATGCTCCCTGCAAGGGGAAGAGCATGGCCAAAAGCCTAAGGTGCAGAGGTCATGGCCCATTTAAGGCAGTGGAAGTAATTTGTGGCCTAGATTCCAAGGGAGTTGGGGGAGAGTAAATCATGAGGCTCGAGAGGTAAATGGGGACCAGAGCCTGTGCTGAGGCACTGGACTTCATTCTGAGGACAAGGAGGAGCCACTGAAAATCTTTGATGTCATTGAGTGACATGATCAGATATGCATTGTCTTCAATTCACCTTGGCTATATAGCAGGGAACGGCTCAGAGGGAGTCAAGATTAGACAGTCTGGGAGAGCAGTTAGAAGGCTATTGTCATAATCCTGGTAGGAGCTGATGGGGACCTGAGTGAAGTAGGTGACAGTGACAGATGTGAAACAATTCTAGAGCTCTCAGGAGACAGGAGTGATAGGACTTGGAGGGTGATTGGATGTGAGGGATAAGCTGCAGAGGCAGGACTGGAGGATGCACTGTGGCCACTGGCTTGGACAGTTGAGGGCAGAGAGGTGGTTTCCACAAAGAGAGTGAGCCCAGGAAGAGGAGCAAGTTCAGTGCGGGGAGCCCTTTGGGGGAACTGGAGTTGTAAGAATAGAGAGCATGCAGTCTCCTTAGTCTTAAGTACCCAGTAGAATAGCCTGAGGTTGTGAGGAGGCCCTGGGGATACCAAGCTGACATTTGGCTAAGCTTATCACACCAACAATTCATGGGAAAGAATCTGCCAATGTAGGACAGACACTATCTCCATGCCTCAAAAATAAGCCCCGTTGGCAAGGTAGGATCATACCCTGGGACAACATACTTCAAAAAAACAAGGTTTACTGAAATTGTTAGACTTGAGGGTTGGTATTTAGCTGAATAGAGAAACAGATGTGAAGTGGTGGTTGGATGCAGAAAAAAGGGAAGTAGGAGAAATGGACAGTGTTAGAAATTCCTTTCAGGCAACAGTTGGGGAAGGAAAGCCGTGTGTGAAGTAGAGGCCCCAGAAGGATTTCCTGCCCTGACTCACTTTCCTTCCTCGCAGCGCCGGTTTCTGTTTCCCTTCTTTGACTCAGCCTACCAGGGCTTCGCATCTGGAGATCTAGAGAAGGATGCCTGGGCCATTCGCTATTTTGTGTCTCAAGGATTCGAGCTCTTCTGTGCCCAGTCCTTCTCCAAAAACTTTGGGCTCTACAGTGAGTGCTCGCCTGAGTTACAGCCCCACCCTCCACCCCTGTCCCCATCAGCGCCACCAAGGCTGATTCTTGTCCCTGTCTCTAGATGAGCGTGTGGGGAATCTGACCGTGGTTGCCAAAGAACCTGATAGCATCCTGCGGGTCCTTTCTCAGATGGAGAAGATTGTGCGAATTACTTGGTCCAATCCCCCTGCGCAGGGAGCACGAATTGTGGCCACTACCCTCTCTGACCCTGAGCTCTTTAAGGAATGGTAAGGGGCTCACAGCCTGATGGGGGAGGGGTGGGAATGCAGAATGGTAATTGTTCCATTACACTTAACTGTCTCGTCCTCTTATTTTGACAGAATTACTTTAGCCTCTTTGAGGCTCAGATATTATATAAAATAGGGTTGCTACCTACTGTCACATGCGTAACATGTGCCTGACAAGCACTGGGAACATAGGGGGAGGCACTCGGATGAATGCGAGTTTCCCCCACTCTCCCACCACCCGGACTTCATTCCCTTAAAGTTGGGAAACAGGAAGGAATTCCTGATAGGATAGAATATCCAACTTCAAGTTAGTGTGACAATTTGGGGGTCCTCATTCTTAACTTTACACATATTTTATCTTATTTTGAAACAGTAATTTTTGCATAGTAGCTAAATCTGCAATCTCTACTTAATTAGGCCTGATAAAATATATCATTCTGTCTAGATCAGCACCTAGATGAAGTCTGAGTTGAAATACAGGTGGTATTACAGCTAGTATACCCAAGACTAGCACTGGACTCCATGAGTCCTTTCCTTCTGCCCAGTAACTCTCCTTCTCTGATTTCTCTCATCTGCTTATCCCCCATCCATGCATCCTCATATCATAATAGGCAGGTTGTGATCCCATTTTCAGCTTATAGATTAAATTGTGGTTTTTAAACTTCCATGTACTGTCTCTCCTGTCTCTATTGGTAATTATATACTGTCCACTCAGGACAGGTAACGTGAAGACAATGGCTGACCGGATTCTGACCATGAGATCTGAACTCAGGGCACGATTAGAAGCCCTCAAGACCCCTGGAACCTGGAACCACATCACTGAGCAAATTGGAATGTTCAGCTTCACAGGGTTGAACCGTAAGTGCCTCCCTCCCTCCCTGCCGAATGCTCACTATTGCACACAGCACTCCTCTCAGTCAGTGTCCTTGGGCTCGGCTCCATTAGCTGTCGTTTAAGTGGTCAGCCAAAACTTTGGACCAGAACAAGTTAGGTTTTCTCAGTGTGTCCCACCCATCTCCTCAACTCCTTGGGTCTTAGAATTTTGGAGTGACACAAACATTCAGTCCATAACAATTATTATGATCTCATTCCCTCAAAAGATAGTGTCTTAAGGGTACAAACTAGATAAAAATCAGCTGAAATTCCCTTCCTGTGGCTTTGCAATAAAGCAAAAAAGCTCTAGAGATTTGGCATAAAGGAAGTACAGGCAGTCCCTTCCTGCTTCATTCACAAGAATTTCTGCAAACACATGGGAAAGCACTCCTGCTTATGTTTGAATGAGAGTGCTAAGACATGCCAGGTCAGAGAGATATCTGCAGTGTTCCAGCCCGCTGGTTCATGCACACAGCATTTATCCAGCTCCTCTCATGCACAGGGCCTTGTACAATGCACTGTGAAAATGAAATGTCAAAAGGAAGTTGCTGCTAGGTACTCAGAGATAAGCAAATACAGGTTAAGGAAGAGATGAAGGAAGCACTTTATAACCAGTTTTTCACATCGATGGAATGTTCTTAAGTTTGAGGGTTGTTTCAGTTGACACGGTGTCCTGGTGAATGAGATGTGCAAGGTTTGGTTGGGAGGTAGTCCCAGATTAAAATTCTCATGAGGAAGAGCAATATTAAACTTTCTGGGGATTAGAAAGTTATCTAATAAGAATTGTTTCCAGAGTCACTTAAGCGTATTTCCCTGTGTACCAATTGGACAGAATAGCTCCTTTTGTTTTTCTTTGTGTTACGGGGAAAGAAGGAAAATTGATTGTCATGGAATCACAGAAACTCCATGGCTTAAAGGATTCCTACCACTCTGATTATATATCTCTTTTGGTTTTCAACAGCCAAGCAGGTTGAATATCTGATCAGTGAAAAGCACATCTATCTGCTGCCAAGTGGTCGGATCAACATGTGTGGCTTAACCACCAAAAACTTAGATTATGTGGCCACCGCCATCCATGAAGCAGTCACCAAAGTCCAGTGAAGAAGCAGCACCAAAACAAGCACCACAAAAGCGGTCCTTTGTTGTGTCTGTTCCCTGCTTGCACAAACCTAGCTGTATACATCATGGATTAGACTATTGTAAGACTGAAAGGCTGCTCTGGTAAGGTGGCCTCTACTTAAATTGGCCCCATGTGAAGAGGACATCTCTTGAAAAGAAATCCGGGCCTGGGATTAGAGCCCTTTTGGAGACCAGAGCAAATTAAGCTTTCTATTTAAGAAGAATAAAACGGTACTTTGATCATGAGATGTAGATATCTTGCCCCCTCGCTAGAAGCAGGAGCCTTGCCTGTGTTGCTTGTGTACTTCTGGGTGTTGCTTCACTCTGTACAAAGTCTAGTCCCAAAGATCAAGTTGTCTGAAGAGCCACATGTAATTGTGGGTGTTGGCTGTCATTAAAACTCATCATCTCTATCCAAAGAGTCTTATCTCTCTGCTCTTTCTGCATGGTTGTGTCCCTAGCCCTAAGCTTTAGTTCTTTAGGGCAGCCAAGTTAAGAAATATATTTACATCTCACACACACACACACACACACACAATTTCATTGAAGCAAAAGTTTCACAAAACAGTATATATTCTTGCTGTGTACAGTGCATTTTGATATTTTCTAGTCCATTCTATTCTGTTATGTCCCATTTCACTAAAGAAATAAAAGTGCTGCCCTGGCCAGTTTGGCTCAGCGGTAGAGCGTCAGCCTGTGGTCCAGAGAGACCCGGGTTCAGTTCCCGCTAAGGGCATGTACCTTGGTTGCAGTTTGTCCCTGGCCCCAGTTGGGTCGTGCAGGAGGCAGCCACTTGATGTGTCCCTTTCACGTCGATGTTTCTCTCTCTCCCTCTCTCCTCTCTTCCTCCCACTCTAGCAGAACAAAAAATAGAAAAATGTCCTCTGGTAAGGATAAAAAAAAAAGAAAGGAAGTGCTGATTCAGACTCTGTGGAATTGATTTTGTGACCCACTAATGGGTTGTAACCCACGACTTAAAACGAATGCTATAAAGGGATGTATTAGTTACTAAAGAAAAACTAACACGTTCTTGCAACAGGCTTCCCTTCAGTGAATACACTGCACACAGTTCTTTGTGTTCTGGGCTTGTCCTCCAGAGGCCAGTTGTCTTCTTGTGTTACTCAGGACCCTGGACTTCATGGATGCATGGGCTGACATCACTCAGGGTGGGTGATTCTAGAACACAGCCCCACCCAGTGCAGCGGAGTACCTCTTAGTCATTAGAGCCTTGAACATGATCACATTTTCCAGGGTCTAACGGACTCTCCACCCCGGGGGATAATCACACGTGGGCTCCACCCAACCTGCATCTCAAAGGAAACCACTTTAGAACTCTGAGATTCAGGGGCAAGGAAAACAGTCACATTCCAGGAAAAGCATTTTCATTTTATTTAAAAATTATTTACAGTTCATTGAGTCTTCATAAATGCTTTATTTTAAAATTAAAATATTTTTTTATTTAACCTGAAGAAAATCGGGGTGGGGGCTTTGGGGACTAGGGGAGAGTGGTGACAGGCTCCTTAGGGATTTTGCAGAGGGTTGGATGGAATGCAACAGCAGTGGCCTGAGCCCTGTGGCCTAAGTGGTAATGTGAGGAAGACTAGCCAGGCAGGCCCCCTTGGGCCAGGGCCAGTGGGGCAAAAAGACTGCATGATGACAGTTCGTACTTGAAACAGTTCCCTGGTTTGGGTCTGAGGCACCCAGCATGGGACAGGGGTGGGTGGGTGTGACCCTTGGCCTATTACTACCAGGCAAGAGTAGGTGTTGGGGGTGGGTGGTCACTGGGGAGCTATCTACGAGAAGTCATGCACTTCTGAGCCTCAGGCAGAGCCAGGCAAGGGATGTGAAGTCAATAACGCATTGCTGGAAAAGGCAGCGCCAGCTGCAAAGTCTACTTCCACATGCTGTGGCCCTCCTGCCTGCAACATCTGCCCTGGTTTGGAGGGGGCGAAGGAATGAAGTTTTGTGGGGTGTAGGCTGTAAAACAGCCTAGGGTGTGCCAAGAATTTCTGAGGACTTCCACTTCCAGCTTTCCCCATCGATTTCAAGGACACTTGCGAAGACCACTTACAATAAAAAATATCTCAAACTGCCAGTGTTCACTTCACTCTGCATTGCAGAAACTTTAGGCTGAAAGTTCTACTTTCAGTTAAAATAGTAGTTTTTAACCTATTGTGGATCTGAGACCTTTGAGAATCTTATGAAAGTGTTAGCCCTCTGGAAAACACGCATAAGAACACATGCACTAGATTCCTATAGTGTTAGGGGTTTCATAGACCCTCTGAAGTCCAACAATGAACCCCCTGGGGTGATGGACCCCAAGTTAAGAACCCCTGAGTTAAAGGTTCCTATGGGTAAGCATTTTCTTTTGAGCTGCAAATAACCCAGAGGAATTATCATGTTTTTATTGATTGAATGGATGTGGGGCAATGGAGTAATGGTTGTGCAAGAAAGGGAGGTAAGCCTGATGGTTTACCCCAGGGAAAAGTTAGGGAATGGTTTGGAGATTCACAGGCAGCATTGGATCAGGGCGACAGATCAGAAAGGGACATGGGTGTCCCAAAGACAACTTTCATTTCCACATTTGCCCTAAAGTTGGCTTTGAGTCCTGATCAGAACTTCTTTATTCAAGTAAATATGTGCAGTCATTCTGCCATCTGATGGTTATGCTTCGAATTGCACCTGCCCATGTGGTGCAAAAAGGTGAAAAAGCAGAGATCTAATATGTTCTTGGAATGAAGTACACATCGCTGACCTGCTGGGGTGCAGTAATGGGTAGGAGTGGGGGAATGGATGACATAGGAGTGACTCTTCAGTGTTCCTGTGTAATGCACACTGAAGTCCATGAGAACTTGCATCCTTGGCTGACCTGGGCACTCTTTGGTTTGTCATGGCTAAACTTGTTTCAACAGCTTAGAATTTTCCATATATATATATATTTTTGCTTTGATTCAAACTTAAAACCTGAAGCTCCATCTCTGGCTCCCAATTGGGTCTCTCTGATCCCTGTTCCTCCTCTTCCAGAGCAGATTTATTGATGGATCGAAAACTGCTGATTGGAAGCCAAAGCAGATGTGTCCCTGGGAAAATCAGTGACTTGAGGTTCCATCTCACATTCTTTCCAATCCAGCTGAGACACACTTCCCAGGCTGCTGGAACACTTACCTAACAGGAAACTGGTCACCAACAGTTTTCTGTACTGTAACTTCATGTGCCAACGTGGCTGGGTCCCACTGCCCTCAAGTTCTGGAGGAATTCTTGGTGCATCTTCTGAGCTAACCTTCATGCTTGCTACTCCAGCCTCCTGTCTGTCAGTGGCACCTTCTGAGCTAAGCTATGCATGAAATATGGCATCAGGGGGTCTCAAAGAACACAAAGGGCTCCAGGGGTCCCCGAGTGGCATTGTCAGCTTGGGGTCATGTCTTCTCCAGTCCCAGACTGCGCTGTGGACAAGACCATTTCCAGCATGTTCCACTGGAGGCATCTCCCTCCATTTTGGCCACTGCAAGGCTCTGAGTCAAACTGGAGGCAATGAGGGGAAGTCTGCCAAACTGACAGGGGTGAAGAGATGGTAAGGGAAGCAGAATGCTGTCACCTGTGGGAGGCCTTGGGGAGAAGCAGATGGTGGGAGGGTGGGTTCTCCCCCAAAGCTCTGGAATGTCACACACCCAGCAAAAGATGTCTGTCTGCCCTGTCATGTGATCAGAGGTGTTAAATTGGAGTTCTCTTCAGAGGCTCTCTCTCCATCAGGTGACCTCTTCCTTTTTCGACCACCTGAAAAACAGTTTGTAAGCTCATGTAATGCCTCAGGATCATGCCTTTGCTATCCTCTGGAAATCTTAGCCCAACTGAGGGTCTATCGTCTGAGAAAGGATTGGTCTCACACCTTTGAATCCCATGAGCCACTGGTGGTGGGTGTAGCTGGAACATTCCCGGGAATACATTCTGTAGCTCTGAAGACCCTCCCGCACTGAGCAGGTGCGGTAATTACATAATTGTCCTCAAGGATGGAGGCACAGTACGTTCCCAGCTCTGTTGTTTTTAGGAAGAGTCTTTTTCACCTTTCCTTTGCCTTTGACTTCCTTCCACGAAAGATATTGCTTTCCTTTCTATTGAGTCTCCTGGACATAATAAATTCTGTCTTTAAAAGGCCAGATAGTAAATATTATAGGTTTTGCAGGCCTTATGGTCCCTCTTGCAATTATTAAACTCTGCCATTGTGTCCATAGATAACAGATGGGTTTATGTTCCAATAAGTCTTTATTTATAAGAACAGGGTGGTCAGGATTGGCCCATCACCACGGTTTGCAGACTTCTGTCCTAGATAACCATCAATTGAATGGGACAGATCTCCAAACTATCAAGAGTGAGGTACCAGCCCAAGCCCTAGGATGGATTCCCATGATTGTACCTCACTAGGGTTTCCAAAAGGAGTCAATGGTACCTCTTCCATGAGTAAGGTACTAATTAATATGCTTTCTCTACTAACCAGTTGGTGGGTGGCTTTTGTCTGGGTGAAGAGATACTCACTCAAGGTTCGCAGCAGCTTCTTGCCCACGGTTTCCTCAAAGTCACTACTGCAGGGGCTGGTCTCTGTATCCAGGGTGATATTACAGCATTCACTATCTGATGCTGAAAGGAGAGAGGAAAGAACACAAATGTTTCTAACCTACACACCCAGGGATCTAGGTGGGATGATTCTGGTTGACGTTTCTTGGCAGGTGAAAAGTTCAAAACCAGAGCTAAGGCAGCAGCGACCCTAACAAGGGAGGGATGCCCAGGAAGCCTTTAGCAAGGGGCACTTTAGTGCCACAAAAGGAACAAGAGACAGAGAGCAGGAGTGGGAATTACCTATTCTAACCCAGTTTGGCAGGAGAGAGAAGAGAACAAGATGTTCTCCTCTCAGCATTTTTGCCAGACAAAAAAGCACATTTGAGGGCACGTGGGGATGTCTCCTCCCTCTATTTGTACAGACCCTGGAAAATCACAGGGCTCTATAACAATTAAGCACATGCTAGGCCCTATCCCACTGAACCCAGCGAGAATTCAGAAAGCCCTAGAATCTCAGAGTCAAGAAGGGGCCCAGGCTCTTACTGCCAAAGCAGGAAGAACCTAACCCGGGAGGCAAAATGGTGTGGTAGACTCTGCACTGCACCCTCAGCCATGAGGCTGAGCCCTTTTCTAATCGATGGGGCAAGTCATTCCCCTTCTCCAGGTCTCAGGGTCCCCATGTGTCACAGAGGGGGATGGAATAGATAATCTCCAAAGACTATCCCATCTCCTCCATTCTTATTCCTTTGATACCATTTCTTGCTCCATGTTTTAGCTACTAAATTCAGTGTGAGTGGGAGAAAAAGAACATCAGTTCTAAATTCAGGTCCTGGAACTGTGATTACGTATGTCCCAGATTTTCTGCATTAGCTACAAGTTAAACATGTTGTCGCACTGACTTTGAAAATCTCTGAGCACTTTCAGGTCACTGCTCTGAACTTGAGGGGCCTTGGACTATGGCCAGGGGCAGGTCTAGAAGGTCGGGCAGGATGATGCAAAGCAGGGGAGTGGGTGTGGGGGCTGCTAAAAGCTCAGAGAAGTATATCTTAGGCACGAACAGAAGGATCTCAGGACTGCTGGGACAGTAGGAGCTCGGAGCAACACTACTGTTGAGACAGAGGCGTCCAGTGTCTTGAAGGGAGGTGATACAGTCTAAGACTTCAGGACAAGTCCTATAGATTACTTCTGGTCTCTGGGCCTCAGGAAGGGAAGAGCCCTGCCAACGAGAGTGATGGCTGACTTCAATGTCCTAATCTGTGAAGCAGGTCTAACAACAATCATGTAATATTTAGAGCACATGGTACCAAGCACTGGAATGTGCCCTCTGTACATGTTAGCTCATCTACACTCAAAGCTACTTTATGAGCTACATGATTTGTATCTATCAACATAAGGAAACTTACTATGTTAAAGTAACTTGTTCAAAACTGCATGGCTCCTAAGTGAAGGAGCCAGGCTCTGACCCAGGTGCAAGCCTAGCTCCGAACACACTATCTTCCCAGAACAATGAGGTAGGATGGGTCCGATGCATTGTAGCTCAGTAGATGTTAGTTTCCTTCCCTGATGGCACAGAGGTGGGACATTTTTACACAGGGTTGGGGTCCCAGGCTCCCCTCACCCAGTGCTTGATGGTGATGACCCCTGGCTCCTTGGGCCCAGTTTCCCTCCCGGACCTGCTCTTGCGGGAACAGCTGCAGGAGGCAGCGAGAGCTGCTGTGTGCTGTGCTCCTTGAAGTCTGTCACATCCTCCTGGGGGAAGGCCATCTCCTCCATCCTCAGGTACACGGCCTCACCAGGGCTTCTCAGCCCATCTGAGCGGCTGCCTGGGGACGACAGTGCGTGTGTCACCTCTCTGCATTGGAGAAGACCCAGGGCTCCATGAGGACAAGACGGCAGCTCTGGACAGCCATGAGGAGGAAGGCAGGGCTGTCCTCACCCCAAGGCAGCCCAGCCCATCTGCCCGACTGACTTACACGGCAGGCTGTTCCTGTTGTTCAGGAGGGTGACAGCAGGCTCATCCTTGGGGGTCTGGGGTGTGCCTCGGGTGGTGGGGGCCTTGGTGGAATCTCCGTCAGTGAAGGCCTCCATGTCGGGGGACTGGGGTGAGCTGTCCATGTGGCAGGCAGTGAGCGCATTCTGGTACTGCTGCCGTGTGATCTGAAAGGAAGGGGCAGAGAGGGGCGGGAGCTCAGGAGGAGATGCCGCCTGCCTACCTAAGTTCAGACGCAGCCCCACCAAAGTGCTGTGGAACCCGGGCCATAGAGGGTTCCATGAACTGGGGGCCTTATCCAAGTTGTACCAGGCCAGGGGTTGAAGACAATGAGGGGACCCTTTGCTTGTTAGCCACCAGAGTTCCCACTGTCATTTTTATTGGCTCTGGACTCTTAAAGTGCACCTAGTAGAGCTGAATCTTCCCCTGAGACCCTGTTAGGATAGAGGGCATCTTTAGTTAGCTGGGTTGTTGCCCAGGTAGAAATTTAAAACACAGGTTTATACCATTGCCAAGGAGCCTCTTCCTAAGGGTCAGTGGGGACTCGGCCAGAGTGGGACCCCCAGCTTGTGCAGAGGCTGAAATAAGAAACCTCTATATGAACAACATAAACTCTGGCAAAACCACAGATGAAACCAATATGTATTTTTTTATGCCTTCCATAGTTATATAGAAATACATTTGATAAATCCTTCAAGAAATTACTGCCAGAAAGAAGTCCCTTTCTCTAGGTAAATGATATACTTCCTTATATTGGATGAGAACTCGAAGATCCACTGTTTCTCCTTTTTACTTTATGAGGAAGCTCACAGATAAATGGACTATTTACTTTCGGTATCAAACTCATCCCTGACAGCTTTCTCACCAAATCGGCTTACAATCTCTTTTCAATCTTTAACTTAAAATATAATTGAATCATTTATTTATTTTTGGAAATCATACATATTACTGGAAGTGCTGTCAATATCCTAAAGAAATGGACCTAGGCATTCGGCCTTCCGATGTTGGTGAACGCTCTGGTGCTAGTGTTAGCAGAAGGGCTGGTTTTCGCACGTAGAGGCTGGGGTACGATGACGGAGCCTTCTGTCTATACAGTGTGTTATGGCTTACAGAGCACTGAGGTATGTGTTATCACCTTTGCTGGTTGTAGTGACTATATGAGGTGGGCATGAGAGATCTTGTATTGCCCATATTACAAGTAAGGGAACAAGGTCCGGAGAGGCTGAGGAACTTGCCTAAGGTCTGGTAGACCCTCAGAGTCCTCGCCAGCGCACTGGGTCAAAGGGCGTGGGTTCCGCCTGGGGCACAGCTATTCACTCTTTGGAGCCAGGGAGATGGAAGGTGAACTGAGAACGTGGAACTCCCAAGTCGTCAGAGGGGAAGCTCCAGAGTAAAAACGGCACCCTTGCAATCCAGATATTTTACTTTAACTCTTGCACTGTACACTGCAAACCTACCTGGCTGGATCAGGCTGCCTTTCACACGCCCACTGAGGTTGCCTCTCACAATCCTTTAGGATAGACACCCCGATAACTACTCTGTAGTTCTGGGGTAAATAGGTCTCCAGAGGACTGATAAGAAGTTGGCACAGGGCTGAATCAAGATCATCATCAAAACCCAATTTTCTAACGTGTCCATGGGTTTTCTAAGGTGAAGCTTTCTTTGGAGTCTTATAGGTTCTCCTGGGTTAAAGGACAGGAAAATATCCCAAGTGACACTTGATAAGCCCAGCAAAGCACCTGATATTATTTGTGGACTCAGCAGCCTATGTGTCCAGAAGTTCACCTTTAACCAGTGTGATGTCTCCTATCATTTTATAACTTCCATCCCTCAAAACAAGATCCTGCAATTTAGGGATTCTGCCACCAGATGGTGATGAGGCATCTTGGTCACAGTTCCGCAAGCCAGATTACGACACCAGCCAAATATTCTTAACTTAATAATGATATTTACAGAACACATTTCAAAATAATAATAGTAATAATAATAATAATAATGGCATAAGGATTCTTTGGTACCTTTATAGGTTATTTACTACTATTAATCACAGCTTGAATCTCTTTCCCAGATAATCACTAGCTATACTTTTCTATCTAATTTTGTAATGTACTGTGAAGTCCATTTACTCCTAGATTTCATAAACAGTTCTGGAACTTCATTCTGTCTGGACAGGAAAAGACCTTACAAACTCTTCCTGCAGCCAGTCACAGGGGCCTCAGCCAGTGAAAACACTCCTTTAGTACAGATCTTAGCTTCCTCAAAAACTTTCTTCATGTTAAAAAAAAAGGGGGGCAGGGGAGAGGTCAGTAAAAGAGCAGTCTACATAATGTCCCTAACAAGTCCATTAAATCAGGTGGGGGGATTTTTAATTTTAGTCTAGGGCATCATCTTAATTTACATTAAAAAACAAAACAAAAGAGAAAACCAACACCAAAATAAAACAAACACTGTATTAAAACAAGGGCTTGACTTGTCAAATTCCCTTCCTTGGAACTAGCCAGTCCAGTCAGAGTTTTTCATCTGCTAACCAGGGAGGGGGCTCTCACCAGATGCTGGATCTGCCGGCACCCAGAACTTGGACTTCTAGCCTCCAGAACTGTGAAAATGAGTGTTTGTTGTTTATGCAGCCCAGGCTATGTTTTTTGTTTGTTTGTTATAGCAGCCCCAATGGACTAAGACAAATGGAAAGACCTGAGAAATAAACCTAACAAAAGTTCCCGGTTCAGATTGAATCCAAATGTCTTCCTCTTGCCGGAAGATGCCAGGAGACATTGCTGCTGACCCTCCTGTCCCATCTCACACCAGCCCGTCTTTGTGCTCAGATCCTCGCACCACCAAGCTCTTTCCTGCCTGTGGTTTCTGTCTTGAACATTCTCCCCACCTTCCTTCTCAGGTCTCAGCAAAACTGTCTCTTTCTCAATCCGATCTGACAACCCTTTCTAAAGCAGCCTCAGTGTATCCCACCACCCTGTTTATTTCCTTTAAGTCATTATCACTACCTGAAATTACCTAGGTTGTATCTATGTGGTTACTTGTTTATCATCTTTCTCCCCCTCTTGGCCTGGGAAGTGCAGAAAGGCAGGAGCTTGCTGTCTTGTTCGCTCCAGTAACTCACCCATGTCTGACAGTGCCCAGCACAGAGCAGGCATTCAGTAGACATTTGAACCACGTACTCATACTGTGACTTTCCATTTCTTTTCCCATAAACCATGTGGCCAGAACTACAAACCAGTAAGAGTTAGCATAGTAGACTTTCTCTTCTCCCATTGTTTCCTAACTCCTTCTGAGGAAGGTCTACAATGAGAGGGCTTCGGGGCTGGAAGCAGTAGGGAGAAGAGTCATGGGCTCTGACTGTCCGAGGGTTAACCTCACTGTCACACTATCTTGGATCACAGGGGAATGGGACCCACATCCTCCCCACTTTCCCAGCCAACTCTGCCAGCATGATCGAGGGGACAGTCCCCAGGGGAATTACCTTCACAAACTGCACGTCGCTGAGGATGTGGACTGAGTAGTCAGGAGTGTAGAGGTTGTTGTTGCTACTGCACAGCTGGGTGTTGCTCCCCCCAAAGTCACTGCGCTCACGATTGGGAGACTCAGAGCGGTTCAACCCGCTGCAGCGAGAAGGGGAGCGGTTTACTACAGATGATGAGGGAGAGGGGAGGTAGAAAAGGCAAGGAAGGGTGGGTGTGGAGAAAGGAGAGGGGACCAGAAGGGGGTGGGAGAGAAAGAGAAAGAGAGAGGTGTTGTTTACTGAAGTCCTGCAGGACTTTAAGGCAAGGTTACCTTGGGTAGTAGAACCAGACCCTCACCTGTCCCATCAGAGCCCAGGAAAATGCCCAGCTGCCCCATTGATGTTTATTCTTTTGAGGGGCAAACACCTAGGACAGGAACTCATGGTTCCACTCTGCTCAGGCGCCTCCTGCTCCCCAAGACCTCAGCCACAGAGGAACTGGGCAGAGGGTGTCATGGACTTATTTGGTTCTGGTTTTTGGGTTAAGTGTTGTGGATAAAAAAAGGGTCTCTGTAATAAATCTGAGCAAAAGTAATCTCACAGGGTGATCAGACCATATATACAAAAAGTTTAAGCAAGCCCTGTCCATTGTTCTTGGGCATCTAGTTTAACACATCTTTGAAATGCCAGAGTATCACCCTTTTGCAGACCCCTCAGAGGCATAACCACCCTGGAGGGAACACATAATCCTGTTAACTGTCCTGTACCTTGCTTTCTCCCATCTTCCCATAATCGACCTTATATTCCCTCCTCAATTCCAAATGTATAAAAGAAGTAGCAAAACTGTCATTCTCTGGAGCATTGTAAGACCTTGATCCCTGGCATGTTGTCAGTTTGGTTCAAATAAACTCTTACAAAAACTTATCTACAGGTTTGGATGTTCTTACATTGACAGTGCAGATGAGGCCCAATTGTAAGCATGGTTAATTATCCCAGACCATGAGAACTTCTACCAGGGTGAGTTATTTTTATATAAACTCCATTCACAAACCTTATTTTAGAAAGGCCAAGATTTGCCCTCAAAACCATCTGTCACAGCATAGATAACCAATCCTCACTGCACTGATGCATTGCAGTGGGGATAACTCAGGTCTGCCCCAACACTGCCTGGGCCCAGGACAAGTGGAGGCTGGCCCACAGACTATATGGATACATATTTAAATCACACTAATAAACTGTTAAAATAGGTTCTATCCTTGTCCTTGACAACCTGGAAAGCCAGGTCCAACTCAGAGTTTTGTGCCAGAAAATAGGGCTGTATGGGGAGGACCAATCCCCAGACCCACTTTTGAATGGGGAATTCTGGGATTTTGGTATTTGAAATGTGGTTTAAGAAGGAAGAACATAGGCTCTGGGTGGGCACATCTCTTTGGCCCTGCAAACCCTTCACTCCACAGAGAGGGCCAGGACTTAGGAGAGCCAAAGTGGGTTCCTCTAAATTGTCGGGCCAGGGCAGGGCACCCTCTAGGCCTAAGCGTTAGGGTTAGGTCTACTTTTCCACTGGGTGTTAGAGAACCAGATGCTCCTCCAGAGCAACCAAGGACTGAGAGGGACAATGATGGTGCCACAGAGAACTGAGTGAAGCACTTAGGTGATTGTAGATGGCATTAGTATTGGTCAGAAAAAGATGCATTTCATTCCTGGTCCCTTGAAAATAAACTGATGAGTTCTGGCTTGGTTAAATCCATTTGTGCTGTTCTCAGGTGGTGGCTAGCTAAGTCAGCTGAGGATGCTTCCCTGGGGCTAGTTGTTATGGCAAATATGGAGTCCTGCAGGAGGGCGGCATGTAAGCGGAATCTGGGAAACCTTGACCTGGTGGGTGTTGTCCTCAGTTCAGTTTGGAACAAGGGGAGAGAGTGTGAGCAGGGCCTGTGGCTTCGATTACCCTGAGAAACAACCATTGCTACTTGATAACCCTCCCTCTGCCTGGTCGGACATGTGCTTCACACACCCCCATCTGTTGTTCCACTTCCTCATCCCTTCTGTCACAATTCAAGATACATTCAAGGAAGAGACAGGGAAACACAGCCCTATCTTATCTACTAAACAACTTCCATCAATAGAAGGTTCTGCCTGAATCACTTCTACTCCCTGCTGGAAACAGAGGCAACAGCTACGACATGGCTGTTTGCCCCAAAGCTCTCCTCACTGACACCCCACACAGGCGCGCTACCCTGCTGTCACTCACAGGGACCTGCATGTCAAAGACAAGCAATATCACTGTTGTGCTGTGAGGGGAAACATGGCTTTTTTTTTTTTTTTTTTTTTAAAGTAAAAACAATGCTATTGAAGGTTTATTATCAATGTCACAAAGGATTCCTAACACCAAAAGATACAACTATCTTACAAAGCTTGGGTCTATAAAAGTAATTTTTTAAAAGGAAAAGGAGCCCTCATTTCATGACAAAGAAAGTCCCAGCTCATCCGAATGTTGTGCAACATCAATGTTCTCGTGCCCCAGAGCCTGACATTCCTCAATAGGTGGGACGCCGATGACTCGGCACTTTGGTAATTGTGCCCATACACGCAGAGGTTTCTGAGCAAGGGACATGGAAATGCTTTTAACAAAAAAGAGAAGAAATCAGTAACAGACGAGTGTCCCAGCAGCATGGCAAACTAGTTCAAGTTGTACAGTTCCCCTTGGCATTTCCTAAGAGCACAGAGGCACAGCTTGGGGGAGCAAAGTGAGGAGGAAAATCCTAACTGTAGTGAAAATAGGTCTAAGAGGGGACAGACCAAACAGTGATTCACAAAACTGACCACAGGACCCCTCACCAGAAGGGAGGCCAAGCAGCCAACATATCCCTTATCAACCCTTGCTCATCATACCCTCAAGCTAGCCCCGAGGAGACAGGGTGGTAGGGGGTCAGGGATTTCTACTCTATACCTCCAAGTGCTGTGGAGAAGTGTGGTAGAACTTATTCTGCAGTCTTTGCCTGCTCAGTCTACATGACAGATCTGTCCTTAATGGCAAATTGGAGTTACTAAGGTTGAGTGGAGAAGACACTGGGGTAAAACTGGGGATGGGGTGGAAGAGGCTTTGCCACCGCTGTTGGGGTTGAATGGGATCTTTTACTCTGCACTGACAGGCAGGGGCCCTGAAAACCTATCCACAGCTCTGGGACTCTTGCTTCACTTTGTGACACCTGTATCAGGAGAGCGATCATAACTCCATCCCAGAAGAATGACCCACAGTACAGAAGAATCCCCACTCTCCTGTTCAGTTTGGGGATTTGAGGGGAAGTGGGGCTCAGTGGCTGCCTGTTTACATCTTTTGGGGCATTCAATGAGGCACAAGGGAGAACAGCCCACTTTGGTCACTGTCACTGTGCCATGGGCCATCTGTGTTCTCCAAACAGCACGGGGGAGTTGAATTACATAGGCTTGCTTATAAGAGTACAAACTAGGGTTATAAAAATGCATCATTCTGGGGTAATATTTAACATCAGACAACCAAATGTCAAAAGCTCTCCGTCAAAGCTACAATGTGATCTCTGCAAATCACAGCCCAAGTTAGGAGCCCAGATGAACCCGCTCACATTACATGGAGCTTTAATGGTTCCCAAATGTTTACTATGCAAGGGCCAACCCAAAGGAATATTTCCACTTACCACGTTTCACAAAGCAAAAAAGATTATTTTTAGGGACTCCTTGTATATTCTGGGAGAAAACTCTATCCTTATCAATCTCAACGCACATTACAGATGGACAATCAAGCACTAAAAAAGAACCCTTGCTGTGGACCTCTCTCGTTCCTCTGTGCTTTTGTGGATTCAGAAGGATTGTGAAATCATCTCTGCTGCTGGGAGAAGGAAGAAGGAATGGATCTCGGGAGAGGGAAAGCTAACTGCAGTGGGCCACATACTCTCAGCGGGTCGATCAGATGTTTCACTTTTAAGTGCAGGCACCTGCAAAGGGGCTAGTTACACCATACACCACATACCACTCTGCTCTCCTTATTTCAAACTGAGGTTCAAAGAGGAGGAAACTCCCTATAAATAATGGTGGCAATATTTGGTGCAGGGACCACTGGCCTCAATCCAGCGTGAGCACCATATTCATTAGCATGGCTGCTTTCAAAATGAAAACAAGTTGCAACCTTCCAAGGGGCAAAAAATGCCTATTTTCAGAGGGGCAGCACAGTCCTGGGCTACGGGAGAGCAGGACCTAAGAGTCTTGGATTCAAGTCCTTATCCCTCTACCTTCTTACTACACCCAAGACACTGACCCAAAGGCTTAATTCCTCAGAGCCTGTTTCCTGCCTTACTATCTCCCAATAATCCCTGCCATCTCCTAAGGTGGTTGTAGGGATCAAATAAAATGATGGTTGCTTTTAAACTTAAAGGCCCTATTAACTTCCAGGATTTATATCCCTCCCTGTGTAAGAAAGATGAGGCTAAGAAATAATATATATCTGTTTTACAAATCGAGTATGGGGCCAGAAGGTGCTCAGGACTGGTTTCCACAGTACTACTATGACTGAGGCTTCTTCTTCTGCGGATATGGAACAGAAGCAACTGTGACAGTAGAAAGGTCACAATATAGGTCCTAAAGATGTCACTCAACTGCTGGGAAGGCTTGGCGGTTGGCAACAGAGGCCAGAAAAAAGAAGGCAGGGAGGAAAGAGCCAAAGGAGAAGCAAGGCATCCTGCCTCTCATCTCCTCCTACTATGCCAGTGTGGGCTCCGCTCTGCAGTTAAACCAACGACTGGAATAAACTGGCCTCGCTCTCACCCCCTTGTCACTCACCTGTCTCCTGTTGGGTTGGAAACCCAGTCATGGAGAATGGGGGGATGGTTAAAAGAGCTCCCAGGAGCACATGGCACCAGAAGTTGGAGGGGAAGTCTCTGTACCTCCTACAGGGTCTGTCCAGCAGGAATGAGTCACCTTCATCTCTGTCTGACACTGCAATACCATGAAGGTTTTCACAATAAACACTGATGAACTGGAATTAACCTTTAGTTTAAATGGGAATTATAATGAACTAGGTTGTCTGATTAACTGAGGGTTAATTTAAAAGGAAAATATACCCTGCTTTCATCTTTTTTTTTTTTTTTTTTTTAATGCTTTAATCTTTTTGGTTGAAAATCTTTTTAAAATGGGCATCTTCTCTTTTGCTGAAACTCACAGCACATTCTTCATTCACCAAGATCTCCCACATGTAAAGGATTTCGAAGGTCTATGATGTGGTCATTTCTAATTTTGCTGGCATTAAGAAGTAGGTCAGTTAGCTGGTAAGGGCACCCACTTGGCATTTCACGTTGACCATACTGCCCTGTGGTCATCATGAAGGAATGGGCTTTCAGAGGCGAGAAAAATTTTATTTCTTGGTGGAAAATCACCATCAAGTGAGAGAGAAAATTTGGTGAAATCTGAGAATGTGGTTAACTTATACAGATAAACATGGGAACCAGATGGTTTTTGATGGGAAAACGTGATTTGGGAGAAAGTAGAAGTCAACATAAAGACTTCTGAAGTTGCAAACTTGGGAGTTTGAGGTCTCACACAGCCTTCTTGAATGTTGAGAGTTTATTCTGCAGAGAGCAAAACATAAGTGGAGTTTTGGTGGCTGGGAATATGGTGGGGCCTCAGAATCATTACCACAGCACTAGGATAAGGGAGACAGATGTAGCGGGTGTGGGGAATTGTGTTCCAATTTCAGAGCAATTTAACAAATAAATTCTTCGTTTGGTCATTACTTATTCCCTGAGCCTAAGAGATCAGCCTCTAGAGATGCAAACAATACAAACACTTAATTGATTGTTCAGATTTATTATATTCTACTCAGTCCTCGAGTTACTGTGTGGCTCTATGAGCAGCTGCTTTACCCAATTAAAAAGAAACTGGTAACTTGTATTTAATTAATGAGAGTTTAAACCTAATGAAAAGTTGTTTTGAAATTTTACAAAGAACATCCTTTGTGTGAACAGAGCCAAATGGAATATGGTCACCACATGGTAACATTACTAGGAAGATAATGAGGATGGGTTAGTGGTTAGCTAAAGGAAGAGACCACATAGAAAGAAAGGTGGAGGAAAAATAGGAATAAAGCATAATATTCCATTATTTATTCCTATTTTTCTCCCGTGGCACTCCTCATTCCTCCATTCTGTAGTCAGATAAATGATGAGGAAGAACTCACACCATCTCTCGCCCCATTATTTCTCCATTTACATATGCAGATACATCCCTGGGAGCTAAATTCACAAGTGACCCCATCAGCCAGCAAGGCCTGGTCTGTATGTGCAAATGAGTGTTAGTTATACAGTGTGCTATGCCTTAGGCATGAGAATGCCTGCTGGGAGAGACTGTTCTTATGTGGGACAGTGACAGAGACCAAAGGCCTCTTGCAAACCTCACTGGATCAATGGGGACCCAAGACACCCATGCATGGTTACCTGGGGAGCCTGCCAGAGAGTCCCCTCTGCTGAAGGTGAAGGTACGAGACACAGAGGCGGGAACTAAAGAGTCAAGGGCCAAGGATTTGTGAGTTGTGAAGGGGAAGAAAAATATAAAAGGAGAGAGACAAAATGTGGTGAGACAGTCTGTTCCTGGATCTTCGTAGCATCACATTTCTCTGCAAAAGGGAATCGTGCCTCTGAAAACATGGAAATCGCACCCTCTTACAAAGTCACTCTCCAGAAAGAGGAAAAGAAAACAGACTTTTCTGAAGGTCTTCCAAAAAAGATGCATAATAATTTCAGAGGGAATCGGACCTGCCAAGGACAAGACCAGCAGTGCCCCGTGGGGAGCATGCACACACAGCATTCTCTCTGAGGCAGCAAATTTGCTGGGAACCCAGCACTGCATTCCCACCAGGCTCTCCCAGCTCCCCAACCAGAGGGCTGAAAGCAGGTGCAAGCTCCTGCTTGGGGAATTCTGGAGGAAGCTGTATGCTGCCTGGGACTCCTAGGAGCTTCCTCTGTGGCCACAGTGCACTGGAGGAACTATATGTTGCTAGAGGCTTGGGAAACAGGAAGAACAGGCAGCATTTCCAGCAATCTTAACATGAATCAACTTGGTGAATTAACTTATAGTCACTTCTTAGCAAGTACAAGTGCTCCAGAGCATTTCTCTTCCTGTCTCCTTTTCTTTCTCTGTCTTTCCCAATAAGGTCTGAAATGGCTCTGGCCGTCACTTGGGGCCTGGGTGGGGTGAGGTATGTAGCAATACTCTAGTCCTTCCCCAATCTTGACCCTGATCAAGTGGTGTTTCTACATGGGAAAATGTCTTCACCTCTGTTAGGTGGTCAATCCGAGTCCCTTCCAAGGAGCTAAATGAGGCCAGTCTGCAAGTGGTGGCACACTGACATAGCTTCTGTGGTCTCATTTGCCACATCAGATGATTTTACTGAAAGGACCATACATGCAGGGAAGAGTGTATGTCGGGAGCTTTATGCTTGATAATCATTTATGCTGATATGAGATATCAAAGAATACTTGAACAGGCTCTTAATGTTGTGAGATACACTGGAATAATAAACCCCATAGGGTCAAGAAGAATCATAGCACTTCTGGGCTGCAAAGTAAATCATACCCTGCCAAGCAATAGACTTGTTCTCTCCACCTGCACAGCCCTGTGGGCCACTTTTCTGGCTACCCTGAGCTCAGGCCCACTTCCTCCACAGTGCCAGGCTCACATGGTCCTCCTGGGTTCCCTGGCAATCAGAACCTATATAAAGGAGACAGTGCTGGCTGTGTTCCCTTTGCCCTGCACAAGTAAGCCAGAGAGACTTACCTGTTACCTCAAGTTCAACTCTGAGGTATTGGTCACAGGGCAGTGTTCTGACAAACGTGTCATCCCATTTATCACCCTCAAAGGCTGATAGGACTACAGGCTGGCTTCAAGAGCAGGGGTAGTTTGCTAGAGTGAGACCCTAAAAGAGTTTACTGACTTTTGGCTCAGCCTTAAGCTCTCCCTCGACCCACAGGCCAAGGTTCTTGGCCAGTGAAAGATCTGGGTGGCTGGACCCGGGGCTGAAAGTCCACCATGGACGACTGAAGGGTGTGGCAGTCTTTCTAGTTATTTCACACATCACTAAGTGGGGAGGGCTTGGGGGGAGGATGCAAAATGTCTCTATACCTCTACAGACTAATTAAAATTTTTTTCCTCCTGAAGATTTCTAAAGATGCTGGGAAGTGGGGAGAGGAAAAGAGTATAATGCTTCCTTCTGGTTAAACAGCTCTGAAGAAGGGACCAGGGTTGTATACTCTTGTCTCACTGATGAAATGGAAGGATTCTAGTGGAAGAAACTAGAGACAGGAAGGAAAAAAGAAAAGACGGAAACCAGATAACATCTTCCTATTACTTTAAAAATAATTTTTAAAAAATAAGGTCATCTAAATTAGGTGGGCTGGGGAGCCTTATGAAGTTCTTTCTCCCCAGAGTTCCCACTTCTTTTGATCTTCTGGAAGAGTGAGAACAGAGCCAACATGCCTAGGTAAGATTTAGAATCCTGGGAAGTTACTTTACCTTGAGCAGTGTGATGGGTGGAAATCCCCTTTAGAGAACCAAGGCTTACCCAGTCCTCTCCCACCCAGAGTGCTCGCTCTGAGTACTGATACTTCCTCCATCGATCTTACTTGAGATTTGCTGGTCTATATAAGTACACTAATGAACTGGGTTTTTTATTTTACTGAGCTCCTTCAACTCACGTTGGGCCACCCCTTGGATGTGGGCAGCTACTCCAATTTCATTTCAGCCCCATGCCGGGCTGGGATGTGAAATTACACCATAAATTGTTCCAATATTCCCACATAGAGATGCATTCTGGAACGTGATGGATCTCCAAACTGCATTGCATTGTGCTGTTGTGAACTAGTCAGGGCACCAGAACGCATTTGTTAGTCACCAACTTTCTGGATGATTTGGAGCAAGTCATTTCTTTAATTTCTCCATGTTAAAACAGTTATCTATCTTTCATGAGCCAGGGACTGATATCAAGCTTTGGGACACTGAGAAAGCCAATATAAGATGCTCCATAAAATGTTTTTATGATAAGCAAAAACACCCCATTGGCATTAAAATAGTCACTTTGAACAATAACAGCTGAAAGTAACGCAAAACTCAGACCAGTGAATCAAAAAAATTCTAGAGAAATAATTGTGTCTGGATCACACTTATATCACAGTAAATGCCATGCCTTCTAAATACAAGTGCAATAGTTCTATGCAGGAAACAGCAAGTAGGTAGAGCACAGAAGAGGCAGAGCAAACCAGCCAGCAGCCCGTGCCAGCCCCCACCATCAGCATGCACAACCAGCTGGTAGACACCTCTCCACCAGCTGAGTTGTGGCAAATGAGGAAAGAGAAGCAGATAAGCAACATATTGCACCAGCCTGGGACCTATATCCCAAGATCTTGCAGTCACTTCTTATTAATCCCACAGACACACTACGGCATATTAGGTTTTTAAGTAAAGGCCAGGGGGCGAATTATCACAGCAGAGAAGGAAAGGCCGAACCTCCATTAGAGCACGCAAATCACCTGCATTCCCTGGCAGGTGACAATAAATGGTGCCTCCCCTCACAACCTCCCTCCCTGCCATTCATCATTTGCACATGAGCAGAGCAGCAGCAGAAAACATTCCAGACACAGAAACTAAGCCCCTGTAGTCTGTGGGTACCTGGCAAGAAGCAGTGTTCCTGGCAGAGCATTATAGAGAGGCTGCCAGAGTTTGTGTTAGCCCCAGCCCAGGCTCAGAGTGCTCGGTCCAGGTCCCCAGAGGGGGAGGAGGCAGGACTACGATGGGGAGCACGAGGGAGGGGTTTGAGAAATACATACGAAAGACAGAGGATCCAGTCAGACTTCCCAACTTCCGCACATCGTTATCTAAGGACAGAAGGATGCAATGTGTTTCAGAAACAATTCAGAAAGTACACCTTCTTATGGGAATTCTCCCTCTTCTGCCCCACCCCCAGCACCAATGAACCCTGAAAAAAACCCCAAAAACCAATCAAATGGAAGTGTCAAAAGAAAAATAAACTTGTCTTTTCATACTAAAAAAATACCACTATCCATCCCTAACACTCGATAACACTACTGTCTACTGTGTAATTCCACAAACGCTCTGAATGATAAACTAGTCTTATTCCCACTTCATGGAGGAGGACACTAAAACCCAGGAAGTTAAAGGGCTTGTCCAGGGTCCCTAACAGGAGTGAAAAGGTGAACCCAGCTGCTTTTTTTCTACAATATCCCTGCTTCCCCCAATGAGCTATGGCTTGGAAACTGGAGTACCTGAGCAAGAAGTGGTCATGATGGCTGGGACACCATAGTAGGTGAAGGCTCCATTCTCGAAGCGAAGGCCTTCCTTACCAACCTCCACCTCCACTTTCCCCTGGAGAAAGAAGGAAGTGTACTAAGGGTGTATGCGTGCACTTCCAGTTCTACTAATCATTACTACCCTAAGCCTCTGTCTGGGTAACAAGTGGGCTTCAGATCTTATCTCAGGGAAATGTGAATTCTGTCCAGATTGACCTTTCAGAAATAGCACCTCCAACTTCAGTAGCCCTTTGCAATAAAGTGTTTCGTTCATAAAGCAGCATCTAGTCCTGAATAATCTCAAGCTCTCCTTGCACGCTGTCATGGCCTTTCCACGGTGCAGGTCCAGGCACCAGCGGGTGCAGGACCCTGTGAACTGCCTCACTGGTTTGGTCTGAGATATGACCATCTCTAAATCTGGATGAAATAAAATCTGACTCAGATTCTGTGCAAAACTGGTTTAATTCATCACCACTAGGAATGACAGCTTGTGTGTAGCATATAGTGTGTATCTATGGGCCTGACATTGTTATATGCACGGCATGGATTTTCATTCCATTGGTCCCACAACCTATGCGGCCCATTCTGTTTTCACCTCCAGTTCACAGAGGAATCAATTCTGAGGCTCAGAGAGGTTAAATAACTTGGTCAAGGTTAGTTAGGAAGTGGCAATATTGGAATTTCAAAGCCAGATCTTTCCAATTTCTGAATTTATACTCTTGCCACTACATTTTACTTCCTCCAACTTTGATTTGAAAACAGTTAAGTTTATAAGCATAAGACAGTCGATTGCGTAGTTTCATTGTGTAATTTAAAAACACAACAGATCTTGATTTCCAACAGTGAAGAATGCGACTCCATTTGTTCAGGCTACAATGAAGAATGGGCGTGAGGCACACCATCGTGTCAGAGCAGAATGCAGGTGGACAGTGACAAAACAGAGGCCACTTGTAAGGTACTGTAAGTCTAAATCACTGTTATTTAGGGTTCACGAGACACTGTTGGGAAGAGACGCAATGGTGACAGGGCTAGCGCTGGGCCAGGCCAGGCAGCCGGCAGTATCCAGTGCTGGAAACAATGCCCGGCTCTTCTTTCCCAGCCCATCCAGGCACACAGGGCAGAGGTGGCCGTACTTATGTGAGTACCGGGAAGATGCTGCACCTCTTTCACTCAGTCATTAATTTCCTTCCTGGTCCTCTTAGGAGAAGAGTCAAGGGACTGAAAAGGCTGAAATGTTCCAGAGAAAGTGGATGTGCTCTGTGCACATCCAGGGAGCAGAGTAAGGACCAGTGGGTGGAAGTCAGTGATGATGAGATTTCAGATGGATAGAGGGAAAGCTTTAATAAGTGTCTGAAATTTGGGTGAAGGCACGGGACGGCTCCACTTCTGGACATGGCCAAGCAGAGACAAGAAGGTGTTAGGGATTCTCTAGGTCAGCAGTTTGGAAGTTCAGACACAGAGCCCCTCTGCTGGAGAGGTACCCGCCACATCCCACCACAAACATCCCTGAGTGGTCAGACTAAAGGCCATCAAGATCCCAACACTCCCGGCACCACTTGGCCCCTTCTGTGGGTCATTAACAAACACCCACCCAACCTGGCCTTGATCCCAAGGCAGCCAGCTAGATCTTGGAACCTGGCACTGGTGAGGCATGGCCATTCCACTCCTGCCTAGGGATGCCCTGTTTGTCCTTAGAGGGCCTCTAACTTTCCCACTCACCTGGAGAAGCAGCACAAAATAGTCCACAGGGCGGCTGCGCTGGTAGAGGTAGTGTTCCGGGGCTTTTTTGTTCTTTTCATCAAACTTCAGCTCCTGGATCACGTTGGGATGTTTCAGGAGCCGGAGAAGGATCTTCTCCGAAAGGTACAGAGACTTAAAGGGCTCCACTTCTAGGGGAGAGTGGGAGGCAGGAAGTCGGCAGCTGGGAGGAGTCAAGGTGGGCACAACCAGGGCATGTGTCTGGAGCCACCTCCATTTGTGCTCCAGGAACCCAGCTGGAAGGGCTCTTGTGACTCCCTCGGGTGAGGGACAGGGGTCTTAAACCCAGGTGTGCGTCTCAAGCCTTCTCCATAATCCCTGGGGATGTGTGTCTCTGCACTGGCATCTCAGGAGAAACAGGTCACCATTTTGGAAATATCAACTTTGTTATTAATTTTCTACTTGATTTTATTTAAAGATGCACAATCTTGCTGTTTGTGACAACATGAGTGAATCTGGACAACATTATGCTAAGTGAAATAAGCCAGACACAGAAGGACAAACTGCATGATATCACTTATATGATGAATCTAGAAAAGTCAAACTCATAGAAGCGGAGGGCAAAAGGCTGGTTGCCTAGGCTAGTGGGAGGGGGAACGAGAGGAGGAATTCGTCAAAGGGTATAAATTCTAGAGATGGACTGCACAGCACAGTGCCTACAGTTAATGATACTGTGTTGTATATTCAACATTTTGCAGAGATTTTATGTTAACACAGAAAAATAATAATAAATAAAGAAGGTGGGAGGAAATTTTTGGATATATTTATGGCATAGAATGTGGTGATGGTTTCACAGGTGTATACTTATCTCCAAACTAATCAAATTGTACACATTAAATATGTACAGTTTTTTGTATGTCAATAATACCTCAATAAAGTGGTTAAATAAAACAGAGTTGGGCATGGATAAGTAAGCATGTGAACAAAAAGCCTGTACTGCTATAATCAAATGAAAATAGAGAGAATTTGCCCAGCCGGTGTGGCTCAGTGGTTGAGCATCAACCCATGTACCAAGAGGTTGCTGGTTTGATTCCTGGTCAGGGCACATGCCCAGGTTGTGGTCCCCAGTGGGGGGCATGCAGGAGGCGGCCAATCAATGTTCTCTCTCATCAATATTTCCCTCTCTCTCTCCCTCTCCCTTCCTCTCTCTCTAAAATCAATAAAGAAAAAAAAAAGAAAATAGAGAATTTAATCTGACTTACTTGTATGACATATATCTGTTAAATGAAATAAAAATTCCAATGGTAATTATTTAAGTGATATGTTCTCAAGAATATGAAGCATTCTTGTATCAGATTCATATATTAACAGATATTATAATATGTTACATTATATCATGTTATAATTTTAAAGATAAACCTGCTTTGCTCTATGAAATCAAACAGTCAGTAGTTAAAAGAAATCTGTACTCAGAACTAGGTAACATGTTGAAAACTCTACTTTAAACAACTGCAACATAAAGTTTTCTACTTTTTAACACCTGGAACACTACTAGTACTCATTATATACTCAATAGTCATATGCTGGATTAATTAAATACTGAACTTTGCAATGGATGTGATTGTTCAAGGTCCGCACATTAACTGGGCATGGGTGAGAAGGTCAGAGGTTCAAAGACAAATTACCTTCTTCATAAGTTTATCTTTGGAACCTCCCCCCCACCCCACCTTTTTTTTTTCTTTCTGAAGATCCCACGATTCACAACCCACTTCTGTATTTTAAGAACTCACATCTCACAGGCCTATTTGGCCTCTGGAGGGTACTGGACCCCAGGGCTTTGTTGCTGGGAAGGACGATGCCTTTCCCTCCCCCACAAATCCTCTGGGCACCCCGACTCCAAAGGATGGAGGTCAGCCTCTGTCTCCCACCAGGAAGCAAGTGGATGAAGGGAAAAGTACAGTAGTGGTTTCTTTAGCTTTTTTTTTGAGTAGAAGAGAGACAAACTGAGTTGGGTTGTGCTCACTCCTTCCCTAGAAGATCAGGTTGAGGGCTGAAACGGACAGTATGTGGCATCCTGCCTCCCTTACCTAAGGCAATCTCCTCTCCTGGAACAGTGGTTCTCAGTCTCACATTGGAATTAGGTCACAATGTATTAAAAATGATTGGTGCCAGGATCCCTCCCTCCAGATTCTGCTTTACATGCCTGGGGTGGAGACATGGGTCGGCAGAGTCATACCTGTGGCCATGAAGCGGTGTGTGGCCAGCAGAAGCTGTGGCGAGACCTTCACTCTCATCTCCGAGTCAGAAAGCTTAAACAAGGAGAAGTCATGTCGCTTCCTCTCCCGGTGTGGGACCCTTTGCTTTTTCCGATTGTCGGCTGTGGAGCACAGGGGACAAATTGCGGCTATCTCAGAATCACTGTGGGTTTTTGGAGGTTTTCCCAGAGTTGTGCAGGACAGCTAGATCCTCTGAGACCGTCTGAATTTCTGCAAAGTATCAACTGTAGGTGACATTAAAATACCTCTCCCAGGGAGTGGAAGGATGTTGATAAGGGACAGAGGGTGGAAGATGTTACAACTTCCTCAGTCTTTTTTTTTTTTTTAAACACTTTGTTAAGCTTTATTGCACAGACTAACACCTGGGTTTCCTGGACTCAGTAATACTAAATTAGTGGCTTCTTGCATCAGCTCCTGCAACTGTCCTATTTGTTTGTCACGAAAGTCATGAAGCTTCTCTTCTGGTAGGGCGGCTCCAAAACATGCTTTTTGAGTTGAAGTTTGGCTGTTTTCATTAGCTTGTTGCCATAGCACTGCTGCATATGCCACGCAGAACGGTGGTCATCTTCCTCCTTCCCGGGGCTCTGGGGAGAGGCAGTGGCCCCGCCCTCTATTTTCACTTAGGTGGTGCATGGTGGAAAAGGGGAAAGCTGGCCTGGGGCTCCCAAGGTCAGGGTTCTAGAGCTGGTTCCCTACTTAGGAGCTGTGCAACCTCTCTAAGCATCAGAACGTTTGTTTTAATCTATATAATGAGGTTAATAATTAATAACTCTTCTACTCATCTCATGCAATTATTATGAGACTCCAACCATAAACTATCTGTGAAGTACTTACAAAAAGGCATTCAAACATCAGGGACCAGCATTCTCAGCATCAAGGGGTTTGGGAGTCCGAGGGGGCTTCTGCTCCACCCCTCTTCTGTCCCCAGAGCTGGGCTCACCTGGTCTCTTCCTGCTGATTTAAACACACTCTGAGCAGAACATGAGGCATGCCACCGAGGGGGATGCACGGTCCTCCTCTTCCCACTCACAATTCTCCTGCTTCAACCTTGGCCTCTCCGGGGGGAGAGGAAGGGGGAAATAAAGGAAAGGAGAAGGGAGAGGAAATGGAAACAGCCCTGTAACCTACCAAGACAGGTTCTCTGGGCAGGGTCCCCAGGCAGGACCTGAAGGAACTCCAGAGAGCCTGTGATTATTGTTCGAGAAAATTTTCTTTTCCCAATTTATTTTTCTCCCCTCTTTTTTTTTTTTTTAATTTGTCTTGAAGAATATTTTTTGGGGGGATAAAGGAAATGTTTTCTTTGGTCATTTCTCTTTCGCTTTCTCAGTTTTGAGTAGAATGTAAAAACTTCCAGCCTCTCTCACCTGTGCTAAGAGGAACAGGAAAAGAGGTTCAGGTTTTCTCCAAACTTGGCCAAGAGAAAAACAGGGCTGTGGGAACTTTCAGTGCAGCTGAGTGGACCCCACAGAAATGAAAAGGGATGAACCCCGGATATGGACAGCCAAGGCCCAGAATCTGGCTGCCTGGGACTCTCCCCCTCCTCTTGGTGCCTGTCTCAGCCACATGGGCTGGGTCTCCTTCTAGAAGGGAGAAAGCCCTTCCACACCACAGCTCTCCGCAGGCCTGCCTTGCACTCCGGGCCCTGCTTGAACTTCTTTTTCTCAGGTTGCAACAGTGGTGAGATCCAGAGCCAGCTTTCCTGTGGGTCAGGGTCAAGTGAAAAGCAACACAGTACTCCCTGCTCCTTGTACTTCTCAGAGCTTTTAAGAAATCATTCCAGAAGCTTATTTACAGGGGTGGGAAAGCCCTACCCCTCTCTTTTAGAAAGAGAATCAATTGCTCAGCAAAAGAGTAGCAAATACTAGGCCAGTTCTTTTGCTCTCGCCAGTGAGCAACTTTCTGATTTGCATGATATGTTTGTCTAAATATCCCTCTTCCTCCTCCTCCAGAAGGACACTAAACATTTCATCATGGAGAATCATTTCCCTGACCTCTTTCTTCATTCTTTTTATTTTAATAGTGAGTGTTTGGAGCATTGAGGTTGCTAAAACAAATGCCTGAGGAGGAGCTCACACATTAAGACTACTATTCCTACTATGACACTAACACTTCAGTGTGAATGTCTTCAACAATATATTTATGGAGACTCTTGGGAATTCTAAGTCAAGAGTGGTGGGCAGAGGGGAGAAGGGACTGGTGAGGGAGAGGTCAATTCCTATTTGAAGAAGACGGGCCTGGCCAGGGCATCACAGCAAACCTGGTATATTCTGTCCAGACCTGGCCTACCTTTTAGGTTTGATCTCTTCTTAGTCCAAAGGGAAGGCACTTTTTCTGCACCACTCTCTGCCTTATAGTATCAATGCTTTTTCTACTGGGAGGTAGTTTTTGAATGGCTTCTTCTAGCAAACTAAGGACAGGGGTCTGGACTGGGTTACCCGTGGGGAAGAGAAGAGATTGCTGTCCCACAAGGTGGAATTTGGAGGAAAGGCCTCCTGGCCTAGGGACTCCCATGGCTTTAGATAACACTCCCATTCTAGAGACGAAGCGCTGTCTTTGTAACATTTGCAAGCAAAGCTTTGATAAGGCTCAGTAACCAAAAGTAGTCACTTTCTGCATGAAGGAGTCCATATTGTTCCTGAGGGGGAGGAGGTAGGAGGATGAGGAGACCAGAAAGAAGGGAGCAGGGACAGAGCAGGGATAGGAGCCAGGGGGTGGGGAATGGAGAAGGGGAAACTAGGTGGTAGGGCTGAAAGAGCAAAAGGGAGAAGAGCAGTGTGTGATAAGGGACATTTTAAGTTTGGCTTGGGCTTCAGAGCACAATCTCAGGACAGTCTCCACTGCCCTCTGAGATATACTTTGCTTCCTTTAGTTCCTCTGTCACCCAAAGGCCAGGAGGTCTCCTTTTCATGGTCTTGGTTCCTGCAGGTCCCCTCCTGATAAACATTTAGCTAGCACAGTGATTTTCAACTGGTGTGTGCTGTAAGAATTTTTAAAACATGCAAAATCTTACCATTTAAGGGGCACTAACCTCTTTTCCCTTAGATTATCAAATAAAAAAATGACAAAAGCCAACACAATAGCCATCCGGTGTGAGTGAATCAAAAATACACTTATTTTTTTTCATCAGATCAACAAAATATATATTTTTGTGTGCCAAAGAATTGTAGCAATTAGTTTATGTGTGCCATGAGATAAAAAAGGTGGAAAATCACTGCACTAGCATGTTCTCAGGGACTCAGGGGTAATTCAAGCCAGGGTACCTTGCGTGCCAGCACATGGCATTAGGGGGTTGACACAGTAATGCATGGGCTTGTCATGACACTCTTTCACACTGCATATCACACTAAGCCAGCTCTGAGAGTTACAGAGGAAAAGAAGATGACCTTGGACAATGCCAAGGCCATGCACTCACTGTAGAGGTCGGTTTCATCCAGGATCTCTGACTTGATGATCTCCTCTATGATGTCCTCCAGTGTAACAATACCCATCACCTCATAGAAGGGGTCTCCTTCGCCCTCATTATTCACTCGCTGAACAATGGCCAAGTGAGATTTTCCTACAGAACAAATGAAGTCACAGTAAGACATCTGGGATATTTTCAGAGACCCTTCCTTATGAGAAAATGGCATAAAGCTGCTTTCTATCTAATCTCAGGACTGAACCCATCCAGGACCTCCTTAAAATATGAAGTTTGTATATAAGCTTCTATAAATGCAAACCTTATACTTTTACATCTCTGTTTCCTTTTAGGAAAGTTACCTAATATATGGGGTGAGCAAAGGTAGGTTTACAGTAGTTCGTATGGAAAAAGAAATGCATAGTTATGATTATTACAACAGATTTATTAACTCTGTGTTTTGTGTACCCACAACTGTAAATCTATTTTTGCCCACCCTGTACACAAATTTTTTTTCTTTTAACTTTCACATATTAGCAAGTACAATTGACCTTTGGACAATGTGGGGATTAGGGGCACTAACCCCTGTGAAGTTGAAAATCTGCATATAACATTTCTTTAAATCCTCACCCGTGGATGTTTTTCATTGACTTTAGAGAGAGAGGAAGGGAAAATGAGAGAGAGAGAGAGAGAGAGAGAGAGAGAGAGAGAGAGAGAGAACGAGAACATCGATGCGAGAGAGAAACATTGACCCTTGCCTCTTTTTTTTTTTTTATCCTCATCCGAGGACATTTTTCCATTTTTTTTTTGTTCAGATAGAGTGAGAGAGAGAGAGAGAGAGAGAGAGAGAGAGAGAGAGAGAGAGAAACATCGACGTGAAAGGGACACATCGAGTGGCTGCCACCCGCACAACCAACCAGGGTCGGGGACAAACTGCAACCGACATACACGCCCTTAGCGGAAACCGAACCCGGGTCTCTCTGGACTGCAGGCTGACGCTCTAACCGCTGAGCCAAACCGGCCAGGGCAGACCCACTGCCTCTTACATGTGCCCCAACTGGGGACTGAACCCACAACCTGTGTATGTGCCCTGACTAGGAATCAAACCTGTGACCCTTCAGTGCATAGGATGATGCTGCAACCAACTAAGCGATACTGGCCAGGGCACATATAACTTTTGACTCCATAGTCTTCTCTTCTTTGCTTCTGTATATTCAACCTACAATGGATTGAGATAGTATTGGGAACGCAAAAATACTGTTTTTGAGCCGCAGTTGGTTGAATCCGCAGATGTGAAGCCATAGATAGGAAGGGCCAACTATATATGTTGAAAAAAATCTGCATGTAAGAGGACCCATAAAGTTCAAACCAGTGTTTGTTCAGGGGTCATCTGTATATCTAAGCTGAAGGAGGATGAATAGTTAAATTGAATGACCAAAAACTTGGAGTCAGAAGAAGTAGGTCAAAAGCCTTTTTCTCCTTCAAACTTCCCCCATCCCCTACCCCCTAACTAACCCAGTCACTCTCTGTGCAACTGACCCACGACAAATCATTTGATCTCTATGAATCTCAATCTTCTCATCTAGAATCAGGGGGAAATATCACAATGTTGACTTTAAAACATGGCCTCAAATTCTTTGATAGACTTCCCATTGAGAGGTGTGGTCTCTCTCCCCTTCCCTTGAGTCTGGGCAGGTTGTGACTGCTTTAACCAATAGAGATCAGGGAAGTGTTTGTTCTGAGACTTCTGAGGATAGGTCATAAAAGGCATGCGGCTTCTGCTGCAAAAACATGCTAACAAGTATGATGAAGAAGCCACATGTAGGTGCTTGAGTGACAGTTCCAGGTAAGCAGGCCTTCCAGCCATCCCATCAAAATGCTTGCCAGGTTCACACAGAAGTCATGTGGATCTGCAATCTGAGTTGATTCAGCTCTACCAACTAAAGTCCTCCAAACCCATTCAAGTCATCTCCAGCTGCTGGCATAGACATTGCAAGGCAGTGATAAGCAATTCCCTCTGTATGTTGTCCAAATTCCTGATTCACAAAATCTGTGAGCATAATAAAATGTACCCATAAAGTGACTGTGGAGCTCAAATCACCCAGTAGATGTGTGGAAGCATTTTGTAGATTATAATGCATCATAGGCAGTTAATTTTTATTGCTCAACAATTGAATAATAATAGTTAACATTTATTGAGCTTTAACTATGTGCCAGGCACTTTTTAGAGCACTTTACATGTTTTGATTCATTTAATCCTCATAACAACCCCTGAGACAAGTACTATTATTATCCCCATTTTACTTATGAAAGAATTGAGGCACAGAATGGTTATGTAAAATGTCTAAAGTTACAGAGCCTCTCATAAACGGCAGAGCTGGATTGCACGCCCTGGTAACTGGACTTACTCCTAATCTTACATAACAGTCCTACTTCATTTTGGTTTGTTTTCATCTGCTGATAAACACATTTTCTGGTCCTCTTTCTAAAATGAAAATCTGGGTGACTCTTTTCCTTGTCTAAGAGACATTTAAAGAGAAAATCTAGAGCCCTGGACAGTTTTGCTCAGCGGTTAGAGCATCAGCCTGTGGACTGGAGGGTCTGGGTTTTATTCCTGGTCAAGGGCACATACCTGGGTTGCAGGTTCAATACCCAGCCCTCGTCAGGGTCATGCAGGTGGCAATCAATTGATGTGTTTCTCTTGCATCAATGTTTCTCTCTCTCTCTCTCCTTGCCTCCCTTCCACTCTATCTAGAAAAAAATCAATGAAAAAATATCCTCAGGTGAGGATTAACAACAACAATAACAAAAAAGGGAAAATCTAGGGTACTGATTAGGATGTTATTTTTGCAAAAAAAAAAAAGAAAAGGAAGTTCATGCTTTATCATTGTTACTCTGAGGATATTTTTCCATTGATTTTAGATAGAGTAGAAGGAAGAGAGAGAGAAACATTGATGTGAGAGAGGGACATCTATTGGTTGCCTCTCAAAAGACCCCCACGCGGGCTGGGGATCAAACCTGCAACCCAAGTATGTGCCCTTGACTGGGAATCAAACCCATGACTCTTCAGTCCTCGAACTGATGCTCTAATCACTGAACCAAACCAGCCAGGGCTATCAGTGTTACTTTTTATAAGCTTTTGCTTGGTCATTGCTATCAGATAAAAAGAATAGTCAGTTAGCTGGAGACATAATTAATCACTACAATTTAAATACATGAACTTCTGTGTCATATACTTCTAATCACAAGAAAGCTACTTATTGGGGTTTTTAATTGCAAACATGACACTTTTGTCACTCAATAATGGTCTAAAATTCCTTCTCCACCTTCAACCTATCCTTTGACTCACTCCCAAACTGATCTGATCATGCCACTGCCCTGCTCAGAAACCTCCATGGCTCCCTATTGTGCAGATAATCAAAGCCAGATCGATGAGTTTTGTATTATCAAGACTGCAAAATGTGGCTCTTGCCTATCTTTCTAACTGCATACCCTGCTATATCCCCTAATCAATCTGTCCTCCAGGTTACGTCCACCTCCTCAACTTCCTCCATGTCCACTTTCTACGTCTTTACTCACACCGTTTCCTTCTCCCTTCCAGCTCCACTGGCCCCTCAAGTTCCAGCTCATGTGCCAGTTCCTCAAGAAGGCTCTCCCGGATCGTTCCCATTCTGAATCCGAACCAAACTCTCCTTGCCTGTGTTTCTAAGCCCTTGATATCTCCATTAGAGCATTTATCACACAATTTGCTCCTTCTTAGAACTAGAAATGTGTGTGTCCTCTGCTGGACTATGTTTCTTCCTCAGACCATAAGCTTCTTTAGGAAACAGACATTGATAGGATACCTACCATATAATAGGCAGCCAGCAATTTTTATTCTGAACTAAGCCAGAATAAAAATTCCTAGTGGATATAATATATGATATTAAGACTAGACACTAAAACCTTTACTTCTTGATAAAATACAATGTGTTTACATTAAAATTTAAACTCTGTCTGAATGGTTCTAAAATTATCCTTCTTGGAAACAACTGCATCCTATCCAACTGAACTGAAGGATTTTGTAGCTTAACTGAGAGTATGTTGATTATTATAATGTGCTCCATTTAAAGTTCTCCCCTCGCCAATACAGTGTTCTTACATCCATGGCACCCTTTCGCACTTTTACTAGCAGATGTACTAGCAGATGACAAAACAAATAACCACCATAATGGAAAAACTTGAAAAAGTGATTTTTTCAAATTATTTCCTATAATTGGGTAGTTTTTATATTGTGGAGCCCAGAATATATATATAATACAGCCATACTTCCTGCCACTAAGAGATCAGTTCATATTATGAGATTACATAAATTAACATTTTACAACGTTTCACACAAAATGCCATAACTTCCATGTGAAAATCTACCATTGGTTTATACTTCATAAGGTCAATTTGAGGACACACTTTATGCTCACCAGGGAACAGAGATTTTAAATCTTAATTATGTAATATCAAGACAATGTACTTATGTAACCTATTTAGAAACATGTTATAATCCATAATCAGCCTTTAGGATCCCCTCAAGTGCCTGTAGAAATCTAAAAACAAATGAAGAAGCCATTCTTCAGAACTGGAACAGGAATCAGCAGTCACATAACCCTGTTCTGAGCTGACACTCACACGGACAAGAAAACCAGATGTTCCCAGCACACTCATACCTGAGGTACTTCCTCTCTCAAAAAGGTTGGCCTTTGAGAGACCTATCTCCCTGTATCCCTCCTCTTCCTGGGCCCCAGAAGTGATAGAGATGGCCCAAAGTGAAGCCAATCTTGAGACATGGAAAAATTAGTCACTTCCTCTTGCCACAGCACTTTGAACATACCTCTCTAATGGCATTTATAATAAGTATAATAAGAGATATTATGATTATTGTAGCAGCCACCATTAGCTACACATGCAGTTGGGGCCCCGCACTCTCGGGGCCACGCACAATGCTAAGCACCATACATACATTATTTCATCATGTTGCTGTTCTCTATTTAAGTGCGATTCCCCTACGATGATGACAAGCTCTCTGAGAGGCAGCCGCTATGCTCTCCTTATCTCTGTTTCCCCAGAATCTAGAATAGCCCCTGGCATAGAGAGAGAACTCCATAAATAATGGGTGATAACTGGAT